GTATCTATGACTGACATAGAAATATCTGTAAGAGCGAGGACGAAGTGAATCGGTTTGTACAAACCCACGTCGTGATGAACATACCTCTTATCATGTGTGACAATCAGAATTCCATTAGCTACTTGTAATTTGAAAACTGTTTCGTGCAGTCGGTCGTTAGAATCTTCTTAAAGAACGCTTAATTCTACGCAAGTTTCGATGCGGTAGGGAACATTTTTCGGCACGTTGATGAAGTATAACAGACAACTATGTTTGCCAGCTACGGTTGCCTCTAATTCCTACCTGTCGAGAATTTTGTCGAAACGCTTTTTGGCAGCGGGCAGTTCGGGAATGGGGAAACTTCAGGGTTTTGCATAATTTCTAGAAGGCGTACCATATTAATTATGGTACCACCACCGATAACATTTGTCTGTCTCTCGTGGTTAAGAAATAGATCTTCGTCGTGTCGAGCTTCTGTGAAGGGTTTGTGAACGTAGCAAAAGGCCTAAAACGATGAACTTTAAAAGAATGGTAAGTTTTCTGGATCACGTAAACGACTACTGCACATAGGACACAACATAACATGCTTATCTGTTTTTGCATGAATGGGTGTTTTGTGTCTGGCGAAGTCATTTATCAATGCGTGTGGTCTACGTCGACGATTGTTGTGTACTGATTACCACTCATGGTTAAACTTAACATGGCCTACTCACGAGTAGTTTCAAGACAATGGGGTTAGTTTGATTGCCGTGGAGAGCAAACATGACGTGGTAAGATAAATTTATTGGTCAGAACAGATTTGAAGAACAATGCAATTACTAAAACATGAGAATGTCTATGGTGAGTCGTTGGTTGATGTGCGTTGGTTGTACTTGACCTAGACGAAAATTAGTGGGTTATTTGGTATTCAGTGACAAGTGCGCCGCTTGATTTGGATAAGATAAGATGAAATATCTGTGAACGATAGTACTAAACATGGAGTAGTGTAAGGTAGAAGAACTTTCTGTCTTGTTCTCATATTTTAGAAACTCATATGTCCCCCTGAAACGTCACCATATTTAGGAAAATTCTATTGTGTTTTTATGCACATATAGCGTTCAGCTATAAAAAACATAACATGAGGAATTATGGTGCCCCTTTTTAAAAATTCTATTTTGTTAGCTGCCTGACTACGGAACTTCGATGGTCTCCAATTGGACATAAATTAAGTCACAACTTGGTGAAAATTAATTTACTAAAGCTTACCTGATCATAGTGGAAAGATAAAAAGTTGATGATTCTGTTTTTGAAATCAAGAAATTGCCAAACATATTGTATTCTGGCTTGATTTTAAAGTTTATGTGCATTCGTATCCACTGAGTACTTTTGAAAATATGCCTACTGACATGTCACTTTTTTATTGTTTGTTGTTTCGTATTCTTTAGCCAAGAGAGATTTTGTGTTCAAATGGTTCAAATGGTTGAGGACGGAATAGAAGAAGCTTTCGCTTAACGGGCTTCCGTGTCTGGTAGCTGTGGATCACCAATACCTCCAGGCAAGAACCTAGGTATATGAACGATAATAGAGGAAAAAAAGAATTTGATAAATCATAATAATATGTTATCCTTAGTCCTTAAGAATAAGTCAAGTTTCCTCTTAAAGGACTCCTGGGAGGTCGCTTGGACTAGCTCAGTCGGCAGCGAATTCCAGCACTTGACAACTCTAACGGAGTAGAAGTTGTGTCTGCAGTCTGTTCTGCTATGTAGGGTCTCCAATTTCTGGGTGTTACCTCTGAGGTTAGTGTTATGACTAAGCTTAAGAAGTTGTTTAAGGGGATGACCAGAAGTATTAAGGATACTATAAGTCATAAGAAGATCACCTCTAAGACGCCTATACTCTAACGGGTAAAGGTTAAGTGATTTAAGGCGCTCTTCATAAGGTTTGAATTTGAGACCCCGAACTGATTTCGTGGCTCGACGTTGTATACGCTCCAGAGTGACCTTATCCTTTTGGAGGGAGGGAGGAAATACTATGTTTCCGTACTCTAAGTGGGGACGAATAAAACTGTTGAAGATTATATGGAAGGTTCTACCGTCAAACTGGCCAAAAATGCGCTTCAATGTTACCAGTGCAAGGTTTGCTTGAGAGGCGTTTTTGTCACTGTTCGCATACGATTTCAGGTCGTAGGGTACCAACACTCCTAAATCTTTTTCAACTTGGGAAACTTCTAGAGGTGAGTTACCTAAGTTATAACTATAGTCTGCAACATGTCTCAGATGGACTACCTTGCACTTTGAAGTGTTGAAGGTAAGTCCGTTGTCGTCTGCCCAACTTTGAAGTCGGGTCAGATCCTCCTGAAGAACTAGTATATCATTATGATTACGTATCTCTCTCCAAAGTTTCACATCATCAGCAAAAAGCAATAAGTCAGATGAGACTTGTTGAGGAAGATCGTTAATATAAATCACGAAGAGAAGAGGTCCTAGTATTGAGCCCTGGGGGACCCCACTAGGACATTCCATAACCTGAGAGAGAGTGAAGTTAACCCTGACCTTAAAGTGTCGGTTTTCAAAATATGAAGAGAGCCAATCAATTAAAGGGGGTTTTATACCCAATCGTCCAAGCTTCTTGATAAGACATGCATGGTTGACCCTATCAAAAGCTTTTGAGAAGTCCAGGTAGATGACGTCAACCTTCCCCTTGCGATCAAGGATGGTTGTCCATCTATCCACCGCAGTCAGTAGGTTGGTCATACAAGAATGACCTTTTCTGAAACCATGCTGTTGAGGCGAGAAGAACTTTGAGGATGATAAGTGTTCTAGTATGCCGTCGAATACTAGGGATTCCATAATTTTTGAAGGTATGGAGAGAAGGGCCACTGGTCGGTAGCTTGAGGGTTCACTGCGTCGACCTCCTTTGAAAATTGGTGTGATGTGGGCCAGCTTCCATATTTCCGGTAGTTTGCCTCTGCTTCGCGAGTGTGCAAACAACACGCTAAGTGGTGTCGCCAGGATTGAAGCTGCTTCCCTCAGTAAAGCGGAATGAACCATATCCGGACCAGGAGAAGTGTCTTTTCTTAGGTGCTGCAGTTTACGGAGCACCAGGTCAACACTCAGGTTCACTTCGGAAAGTCCTGTAGAGGTGCAGGTGAAGCTTTCGTCAGTATGGTTGATGTGGGTCAGCTGGAATGTCCGGGAGTAATGTTCAGCCAAAAGGTTAGCGGCATCACTGTCGTTATTGGTCGGGCCATTAGGACCAAGCTTGATTTGGTGTTTCCTACTCATGGTTCGTAGTAATACTGTTAAATCAACCAGTGCCAATATTGCGTCTATAGACGTAGAAGTTATATTTTGACAGCGCTTTCTTGATCACGCGTCGGAATTTGAACGCGAAATTAATGATTTTGAACGTATATGTAAGACTAGTAACTGGCAAATGCGAATGACGTACACTCATCACATCTATCAGCGAAGTAAAATAAATAATAGTGAGTGTTAGAAGTATTTATGTGTTGTGCTATGTTAAGAGACCCTCGGAAAATCTCGAACTTTTTAAAATCCGTGAGAATATGTTGTGTTTTAAGGATGTGGATCGAAGTATACTGGAAGCGGGTCAATGCTCTGAGCTACTTTACAAAGTGACATGTGAACTTGATAGGCACTATCATTTTTGTTATGCAAGTTTCGTGATATGTGATCCGAATGGAGAGAAGGAAAACACACTTTCTTCAGTACGACGACCATCAATAATAAATAATGTAGTCGGATATGTGAAGAATAGTTCTCGCGGAAAAGTTCCCGGAAGTAACACTCAAAATATGATGTCCGGGACCGCTAAAAGTTAGTATTAAAAAATTAATCATCTTACTGTTATCAGTGTTAATCATTCGATTTTAAACGTCAGAATGAATCGTTAAGTGGGTTTCATTCAGACGACAGTGTTGTGACCAGACTTTGTCTAGCATCTGCATGGCCTAGCGAATTGAATGGAAAGTATTCTTAATTGTTATACACTAACTGAACTTATTATGCAAATAGGATGAATAATAAAAGTTACTTCACAAACACTTTTGTTGGTACACTTTATTCTTACTAGTCCCAAAAAACTAAAGTAAAATAAGCTTTTCGGTAGTTCAGGCTTCACTAAAATATTGGTTCATATTAATTAGAATTTGGAAACGGACATTTTTCTCGAACAAGGTCAATGTAAAAATATATTTTAGTTCCTTTAATGAAGTAAATATCGCATAATTTGCGAATAATTACCAAACTTTTGCCGCATTGTTGAGCATGTGTTCACAATAGAAGTCGTTTTAGGTTTTCAGTTGTGAACTCGACATTCGACGTGATCTCATAAACAGTTTGCGTTTTGAGAAATATAAACTTTGGTTAAGCTATACGTCATCACATCTCATCAGGTCTGAAATTCACTTAGGTGAACGATATGCATGTGAGTGAAGTCAAAAATCACGCATTTACGACTCCACTTTAATTATAATTCAGTTGCCTCAAAGTATCAGAAGTTTTGATGGTAATCTAGGGTTATTTTGGTTGCAGACCGTAAAAAAGCAATCACCTTCATTTGGGACTTTACATCATCCATCAATTCGATCAACATTCTGAGAATTAGGTCGACAGTGAAGTGATGTAACTTATTTCATATTTGATGATAAACTAGGTTGCTAGAAGTAGTCCACTTCAACCATCATCTGCAAACAAACTTTGAAAACAGAAAATTCTTACGCAGAAACTAGATAATGGTTGTTATTCATCAAGAATCCATCTCTCTGGTCATACTGTTATTCGACCGTTTATTTCAGCAATTAAACATAGAAAAGGTTCTAACAGATCGTTTGACTGAAAAAATAAGTTTTGGTGAGTAAACAAACGTCACTGCTTAATTCCTACAATTCTGAACAACACCAAAACAAACGTCAAATTCACGGAGACAATAAAGGGCTTACTTGTAACACATACCCCAAATGAACTGGTACCTCAAACTTTAAGGCATTATGTTATTGCGCCTCATTTATTTAATGCCATTGAGATTGTTATCAAAAGTTGAATTAAGTGTAAACTATCTACAGCGTTCGTGAATTTTCCCTTTCTTCCTTTTATTGAACAAATTGGCACTTTTTCAGATGGTCAACGAGATATCGTTAAAAATCATATGGAGCAAAGCAAAGTCAACTCAAAGTGTCTTTCAAACAGTGAAGGAAGTCTTCAATACAACATTGAGAACATGATTCTATCCATTGTGAATAATAAACAGTTCAACGAAGTGGCCAAAGAATTTCGACATGAAATTATTGTCGCTATGGAGAATTTATTGATGAGTAAATGGCAATCACTAAACACCGCAACTTCTTCTGTATATAAAAAGTAAGCGTTGGCTTTTATTATAGTTTGCTTAACTGGACTGTTTCGAACCATACAAATGCTGTTTTGTTTAACAGAAACGAAGTGGTCCATATTCATATGCAGTTATTTATTGTCCTCCAAAGTCAATTACAGGCATTACTCAATTGTAAACTTTCATAATCCCACCACACATTTATGGTTTTTTCTAGTGTTTAAGAGAGCATTCCGTTATTAAAATGATGAAACCTTATCACATAAGCGTTTACAATTCAATAATTGTCATAACGGTTTCCACAAATTTTTAACGTGACACATGATTTGCATTTGGATAGTTTTGATGATAAGAAGTATACAACTTAGTGTGCTAACTGTGAATTTCTGAAATAGTACACTTTACAGCATGTAGAACTAGGTGAGCGCATATGAACGTATTTTATTTGGAATTTATAGTCGGCAGGAATTGCCATCAAAAATATGCGAATCATTAGGACAACCCATATCTAGCAAAATAACCCGAGAAATCCGATAAGAAGTTGGTTCACTAGAATTTTCTGTCTCTCAGTGATTCTAAGTTTCATTTGATACACTTAAATTCACTGTGTTGCTTCAATTACTTTTGAATACGGGCCCCCCAGCTTTCTCGACAAATATCAAGTGAAATATAAGTTTGTCTTGGCTGGAGTTTGGTTCCAGAGTTAAGCAAGGTTAATAAGGCTTCATCTGATTCTGAGTTGGGATATGCCTCTATACTTACTGTATCAACAATAAAGTCACGGGTTGAACCAAGGAGGGTATATAGCTGCTTCTGAATATGGACACTACCTTCCGAAGACATGAACAAGGATACATGATCATTAGGTACACCCAACTCAATAAGATTCAAACTACACGGTTTATGATTACTAGTGGCGATACGAACAGCAACTCCACAGACAGGCTTGATGTTACCCGTCTTACCATACTTAAAGCATTGGGTTTGACAAAATACACATGAATTACGTGAATGTAATTTATTACATGATGTGCGTTTACCAAATCTGTGCTCACTTGTGTATTCTTCTTTGTAACTGCTCAGTGAATTGTTATTTGCATGACCTTGAGCACTCATTGGATTGGGATAACTAAGTAATGTAGTAGAATTATTGATATCCTGAATGTCGATCTCATGCACTGCCTCATAAATAATACACTTAGTTCCAGCATCTTGAAAAGAACATTTCGGTATTTACATAAGGTCTCTTTACAGACTTGGTGTGATAATCCATGAAATCAGTCGATCACGCAGCTGGACATGAAGTTGATCACCAAAATTACACTCAGCAGCTTGTTTCTGAAGTCCAAGGATAAATTCTCTCACCTAATGAGTGAACTGCCGAATCACTTTTAAGAAATTTCGCTCTTTCACGGTGTTTGACATTATCATACTTTACGTGATTTGATAGTAGTTCTTTGAGAGTTGCACAGGGAAGTGAAATAGGCTTATCTGAGAGTGCCAAAGCTTTTAGTAAGCTTTATGTTTCTCCTCAGATGAATGTAAAAAAATGTGCCACAATTTTATCATCCTTAATATTTTTAATCGTCATACTCCAGACTTCGAACCTTTCCGCGTAGCTTTTGAAGACTTCATAACTTGAACGTATGTCCAACTGTTCAAACATAAGCTGCATCACGACATCAATATGATAGTTAGAGGTATTCGAATCACTGTACTAACTAGGGATTCTCGAAATAGTGCAATTTACAGCATGTAGAACTAGATGAGCAAATATGAACGTATTTTATTTGGAGTTCATAGTCGACGGGGAGTCAAGTGCGAAGAAATCATTAGTTCGTACAAATACCACAAAAAGTGAAATATCATAATGCATACAAATATATCTCTGGCTTAAAGTTTTGTTTTGCCTGTGACAAACATTTTTGAAATCTTAATTTAAATACTTAAATTCAACAAATTTAGAGGAAGGTTTTTTTTGTTAGAATCTCTATTTTCATATATGCCTATTTCGATTTGAAATGATAATTTATCTCCTCTATTTCACGAATTTAAATTTACACGATTGCTTGTGAAAATTTTTGTGGAAACTTATTGTTTTTTCTCTACATTTGAACTTTTTGTGTTCAAGGGCAGTCTTAAATTAAACTTATTTTAACTGCTATTTATCGTGTCTCTTTATCAAGAAGACAGGTTGACAACAAAGTTCTGGAATCTCTTTAAAACTTTCTGGTGACAAAACATGCATAATATTGGGTACACTAATGAGAAAGTTCAAGTTAAAATATATACGTATGTCCTGACCACAGTTGTACAGATTGAAAAATTACCACCCTCGGTTATTTCTAACTTACTGATAATAATGAGTAAAAGTGTGTCAAACACATTTGATTCACTCATCAGAATTTACCAGCTAAGTTATCGAATCAGTATCTCGATTCATCATTTATTGCAACCGAGTATTTTTACTAAGAAAGTTATACATCCCAAGGAACACAATGTCATAGTGTATATGACAATTATTTGATATCTCCTTAGTTTTAATATTCAATTTCAGTGTTGTGATAAGTTGATGATTATTTTCGAGTGTCATAAACAAATATTTTCTAATTTTACGGTACTTGGCAGAAGTTTCTTAAACCACGTTTTGAAATTAGTTTTCTTCACAAAATAAAAATATAACAAAAATGCTTCGGAACTGTAAGCACTAAAGTTCCATTTTGTTCAAAGTGTTCACGTTTATGCTGGATTACTGAGTAAAAACATCGCTTTTTTCGTCTCGTAACAGGTGTCTTATGGTGAAGTCTTCTAGCTTTGTCTTGCCCTAAATTTGATAACATTTCGATAAAAAGTAACAACTTTTAATACAATACGTAAATATTATGTGATAGCTATACCTTAAATATATTATTAAAACACTACTGTTTATATTCACTTTACTTTATTAAAATGGTCCGGTATATTTGGATCAATGTATTTAGATTTAAGTGTATTTGTGGAATACTTCACAATAAACACGTCTTTTGTTATACATCTGGACTTAAGTTCACAGGAGGGGCTAATCGCGTAATATTCTAAATTAAAATGTTTTCTATGATTTTTATGAATAAATTATACATTTGTCGCTTTTCGCTTTTAGTTTCTGTGACAAAGTAACCTTGGTTGATAATGAAAAATATCTGCCAGCATTTACACTTTCTGAAACAAAGTTCTCATTGACATGGGATAGCAAGAGTTCAATAACTCAGCTTTTGGAAAATAATCCTGTGACGCCAAGAGAAAAGCTTGAACTTTATCCTCCAGCTGATGGAATTTCACGGGTTGATGTAGGTAGGTAAATATCTGGATTTTTTTCTTTCTTTAGTGAAAATCCCCCTTAGAATACTTTGAGCAGTTCATTTTTCTGAGCTCTCATAGGTTCAAAGGCAACAGTTTATGGCATATTACATTATAGACAATGAATCGCTTAAATTGATAAAGAGGTTATATTCGGTATGTTGATGCTTACTACAAATTAGCCTGGTTTATGCTGAGGAAGCCCAGGTGTTTAAAAAAGTGGTTAAAGATATCTACTTCTGTAAAAAAACGAATCCAGATCAATTTCGAATTCTCTACTCTTTAGCATTTATTTGTTCAATTTTTAAGATCTTTTAGGAGCAGCGTACACTAACCAGTTTAATATCTCTTCTACAATAATGTTTCAGAAATCAGAAAAGAACAATATAAGGGTACCACAGGACGACTTATGGGAACGGTGCCTCAAATTCCGCCACCATCGTCTATTCAGAAGAATTTGCACTGGACTAAAGAAAAATATACTTCAGAGGAAAACGTAATTGATGATTTCCGTGAACAAATTATCCATTCCATAAACTCTAATCCAATAACAATAATATCAGGACCTCCTGGAATTGGAAAAACTACTTATTTGCCTCAGGTATTCTATAATTTTCTTTGGAGTAGACACTAGAAGTCTTAGTGAAGCTATTCCAAATATAGTTGTAAGCTGAGTTTATTTGGCTAATACAGTAATTGCGTTTATTTGGCGAACAGCATGTACTATTCCAGATTAATGAAGATAAATTGTCTCTACATTTTCTTTAACTGGTACCAAATAATACATCGAAATGTTAGTAGTAATGTCATTGAATATCGTCGTTTATCCAAAATGAACTTTATCGGCTGGCTCATAATGGGCCGTCTATTAGAAAGAATTAATACTGAATTGAATTTTGTCGTGCTACGACTAGTCACAGCGATTTAGCTTTCTTGTTTCTTATGCAAATGAATAAAATATATCTAAAGCTTTCTGAAAATTCACGCTTTCCTTGAGAATACGTTCTAGTTTATGTGAGATACACTTTGAAATTCTGTTACCAGATCACTTAGGTTTAACGATTTCTGAGTCCCTGTAGTTTATGGTCTAACAGAGTGAGAACGCTCATGTTATTCCGAAAAAATGATGATTTATCGTAACTAAATACATATAAGTATATCGTCAACTGATTGTCAAACGTTTGTGTGCAGACACCACTGGAGCATTTGTCTTACTAAAAACGAATGGCTGGTTTTTTTACCGTCTATCATCGACAAAAAGATTTGATAAAGTATTGATAGGATCTTCGGGGAATAAACCATTAGCGATGTCCTGACAACCTTATTTTTTAGATTTTAGTAGATGAGTGCTACATGCAAGGTCATCGTTGTCGTATAATATGCTCCCAACCATATCGTCTGTATGCCCATATAAATGCTGATCGTTTGGCACAAATACGAGGAGAAACAACTGGTCAAACAGTCGGGTATCAAATTCGACTGGAGTCTAAGTAAGTTTATTAAACATTAAATCATTTCATCTTTTATTCAAAGTAATAAATATTTTACCATTGCTCAAAACTGCTGAAAAACAGTCGACTAAAAATGTTCATCATAAGGACTGATTAACGACTTGAATAAAAACTGGTCTCACTATACAAGCCAATAATATTTACCAATGATCTATGACTTGTACCATTTATTTTCGTAATAACATAAATTTGAATATCTACATGTATTTAAACTTAATTATTGGCTTGACAGATCAAGCAACTCCCGAATTTGTTACATGGTACAACAAACTCTATTTTCGGAAAAATGAATGTATTTAAAACAATAACTATACCAAATGATTGATTAAAATATTGTTTATCAGCAAACGAATATCAAGATTAACTGTATTATTTATCAATAAATGAAGGTTTACAGTATTTTAAAGTTAAATAATAAAATAAATTTCCACTTTGATACAAAATTCACTAACAACTTTCAAATTAAAGCCATTTGAAAAATAAATTAGTCTTTCGGTGAAAAATAAACTTGACCATTAAGCATCGATTACAACTCAATAGCTGTTAAGTAGATGAACGTAATTTTGTTTGCCCCATTTTTAGAGTTTCCTCATTACTATTGGATAAAGAGTGGTAACAATGAGAAAGAACTTACCATAATAGGTAGGAAGTATATATTGATGATAAGGTGACAGGTGTAGCAGTGAATATTAGCATGATATCATGCTTAACACTTTCAGCAGAATATGTTTTCAGTGAATGTGAAATTGACTAATATGGGATGCATGACGTCATCATTTTATATTAATTTGTTTGGTACCTAACAGAACTTTGAAATGGGGACCTATATAAAAAACATATGATTGTATTCTCTATTTTACCAATGACGTTTTAATATAGGGTTTCTCCTAAAACTTTGTTGACGTTTTGTACACATGGAGTATTATTGAGGACAATATGTGCAGATTCAAGAATTATGGCTGGTACCACACATATCATAGTGGATGAGATAGAAGATGACGAAATATTAGAAAACTTACATTTAACAAAATTGCAAAACACTGAAGCTAAACTAATGATGACTACAGACAGTAATGGTGATACAGATAAATCATGGTGTGCTGATAATCCAGATGTAGGCTATGGGATTTTATTGGCAGTTATACCTTCTCTTTTAACTCAGTATCAACATTTAAAAGTGATTCTCATTATTAACTCTCGTATATCTACGTACGAGTTTTGCCACGAAAACATACTTAATGAGATGAAGAATTCAATGAATTCAGTAAACGCTCCAAGCTCTGTTCCGATGACCTACTGTGAAGTAAGTGTAAATTTAAGTAGTACCTACGTTGTTTCTGAAACCATACTTTGACCATATTTTTATTTTACGTTTGCCTCGTCGTATTACCGACTGAAAGTATTATATCTTATATTCTAATTGAATTTTCCACCATTTGTTTAGATAATATTCAATAACACATTTCACAATCAAAAGTAATAACAACTTTCTTCTCTAATAGATATTTATTGGACGGGTCTTGCGAGTTATACTACGGTCTAATAGTTATATCTTAAGGACCGAGTGAGGTCGTGAGTTTACACAGCTGGGTTTAGAAATAAGATAAAATAGTTGTCACTCCCCAGATGGTTGAAATGAAAATTACCTTGAATATAAACAAAGTCCCCATACAAACATATTTTAAGAAATATATTGATACATAAGTATAGTAATAAGACCTGAAAAAGTGTTGGATTGTTAACTACACGAGTCTGCCCAAATCACCTCAGATTTTTATCAGCCGCGAAACTAGGTTTATAATCGAAAATAAAATGAACAGATTGTGTTAAAAAGGTTATTAAGTTCAAATCCATTTAATAACCATAGATATTGCCTATATCACTCGATTCAAACCTTTCTATATTCATAATAATTTAGAAATTGAGATATTTCGTTACCATGACATCGTGATATTTACATGTAACTGTGGAATTTGAGTCAAATCAAGGAAGGAAGAATCTCTTAGTTGAATTTTATTTCATTCTATTAGAACAGCTAAAACATGACGGAAAAATAAAAATTGTTTGTAAATAAGGTTAGACTGAAAAGTATGTTGATGAAATGAATAATAGATTGGTGGTAGTTTATCAAACAAGAACCTTTCATTCTGACATGCTGAGCTGGTTAGTCTCCTTTATAATATGAATTCCGTATATATCTAGTCCACAAGATCGATAAATACATGCTCATTTTCACAATTAGTTACCAATTAGGACCATATATATAATAGCATACACTTTAGGAGACTATTAAATAAATTTATCAGGTATCAGTATGTTAATTTTACCATGGTAGATAGTAGATTTACTCTTTAACTGGTTGTTAATTGATTTTGGTAGTGGGAATATTTTTTATGAAATAATGACCCATCAACATCTATTCAATTAGAATAGAACAACGTGCTATAACTAAATAAAATAATGTTTGGAATGATCAACGAATATTCATCTACTGCCAAATAATTCATTTTATTTGACATACAGGTTCATAATAATGCCGCACAATACAAATATGAGATTTCATCTATAGATTTTAAAGGTCAAATACAACAACCAAAGTTCAATTTAATAAATAATGGCTTCGACGAACTCAGTTCAGTTTCATCACATTCAACAGATAATAATCTTTCTTCTGCTTTTACAGCGAAGGTTACACCACCGATCGCAAATATACAGAATAATATATCATCTGAAAATGTAATCTATAAACCATTACAGGGTTTTAGTAAATACTATAATGGAGCGCCAATAATTAGTAGTAAGTTTTTGTGAATGGATCTAATTTCTACTTATTATTATAACATTTAAGTACCTATTCGATATTTAATAAGAATTTCCAAAAGAATATCAGTAGAAATACAGATTATACTTAGGACTGTCGCTAGTATTATGGTCTATAAATAAACAACCTCTGAAACAGAACTTGGACCCGGTGAATTTATTATTAAGCTGTAATTCTAGTGTCTAGTGAACACAATACGTAATTTATAACTGTATGTAAATCTATCCAGTGCATTCTGTATACAGAAGACAGTCAAATACCCCTTAAACTCTTATAAAACTAATGCATTATCTTCAGCACGGCAAAACTTTTATGGACCTAGGAATAACAAAAACATTTGTGTTTAAATGTTTCGTAGTGTGAAGGTGCTTTATACTGTGTTAACAGTTACGGTATATTCTGTTAACCAATATCAGTAACAAAACAGGACTTCTTATTTGCAAGATCAAATAGCAATTCTTAACCCGTGATAGTTTCATAAAATCTATGTCAAGTCCTAAAAATTGTTTGATTCAATATTCTTTCTAACAGATTTATGGTTCCCGTAGTTATCGGTAACAGATTGATGTTGCCTGTGAAAAGAGGATAATTTATTTGAAGGTATAGTTCTAAATGTTGCTGTTACCATCTAACAAATCATAGTAATGCCCGACTTTCAAAAATCAAAAATTCTTAGGAGAAAAGTAAGATATTCGAATGTATCCACATGTTGTTTTCTTAAATTTCATAATTAACGTTAGCTTAAAAAGAAGTGAACTATTGGAAATTATTTATAAGCAGGTTACCATGATGACCTTCTCTGTGATTGGGGGATACAGTTAGCTGAGTTACTATTTGTATGAATTGTATTTTACTCAGTCTAACTGTTGTCATCTTTTTGGTCCACTGGTAGTGCATCAGATCCAGGGTAGTGCTGATGTCAGTGACGGATTCATCTATATCAATTTTCTAGACTTTATCTGAGACCCTTTGTTTTATGTGTTAAATATCAATAGTTCTTAGTTATAACAATGCCAATGATTGCCAGCTTGCCGTAATTTAAGCGGAGTAACAGTAATTCATCAGTCTAATTTAGAAGTCTACGAAACATGAATGTATCTTACCTTTTATTTTCATGAGTTCGCATCTAACAATGTTAGGTTTTAGATTCCTCTCAAATCTTACTTTTTCATTTTCATTCTAATTAACTTAAAGTACCGTACCGTGCAAAGCAAGTAAGAGTTTATTATCTAGAAGATATTTTAGAATGGACTAGTTATTCAACGTCACGAATGAATGAAGCATCAGTGTGTATGAGCCAAGGTAATTCTGCAAATAACGCATTGTTTCAAATGAGTGTAACTTTTATGTTTTTGCTAATGATTTGGTAGAGATGCTCTAGGGTGCACTTTTTAATATAATCTACTACACCTCATGTCTTAATATGTCACAGTAAGTAGTATTAAATGGCCATTAGTTTTTTACAACCATTTCCAACTCATAATTTATCATTAGTTATCTGATTGGTCATATGGTATTGGATGAATATTTTGTGCGTAAAAGAATACCTAAATTGTTTAGCACATGTAGTTAGTTGATTGATGATTCGGTCTTTTAAGGTCTGTTTGGATGGAATTTGAAGATTGATTTCGTTAGGGAGTTATAAATCATTTGTTCCCTTACCAAACAATCAGGCTATAACAGTAAGTAAAATAGATTCATTCAGATCTATTGACAACGCTAAATCACAGTGTAATGCAACATGACCAAGACTTGTGAATTTTAGTAAACAAAATTATCAAGGATTAGTGCTCAGGTTGCCTGTATAAAGGATTATAAGATGAATATAAAATTTGAGATGCGAGGTATTCGTGGTCTAAGACTTTGTTTAAATATTCATTATAAAATAATTAAATTATCTACACGAACTCGGAAAAATAGATGGACAGAATTTCCCAATTGATCGTAAGTTGTCCAGTTTACATGTCTTCGAGTAAGATAGATACATTCTCATCAAAATCGTTCTAAAGTTCAACAAGGTAAGAGTTAAGGTGCAACTAGTTGTGTAATAAGATTTCAAACAGATCTTATCTCACCACAATTGATAATCAATGTGATAAATATTCAACTGTAGTTGCCATAAAATAAACTGACTTAACTTCAACCAAAGATTTATTTTTAAAAATTATCATACTGATGAAACGAATTAAGATGCTTTATTTCATTGGTATCATCTACTTTAATGGTGAATATTCCATTTGTAATCAACCGGATCTAGAAATATCTATTACCTGATTAATAATTAATTGTAAAAAATTCAGATGAAATCTATGTGGTATACGTCAGTGATGGTTCAAGAATGAAATGATATTTGTATATGTACAGCTTTTTTCTAGGATTCTGTAGTTCGGATTCTTATTTCTAATGCTTTTTTTGGAAAATAGTGTATACTACATTTATGTTGGTTATTTCAGTTTAGGTTAGAATTAATAAATGAAATGTGACAAGATATGATATTTAGAATTAATATTTCCTACTGTTCAAAAGTATTGTAAATATAGTGGAGTGAGTTATCTAGGAATGTTTTGTGATTATAATTCTGAAATAGATGTTTCATTCGAAACATAACACACTGATGTCATAATATGCACTGGTTTGGCTCTCATACAGTTTATTGTTTAGAGAAATCTTCAACTCATCTGTTTCCTATTTGCGTAATATTTTATGGAAAAGGTGTAATTATAATTTAAGTAGTCTGCTCCCATAAATTATTAAAATACCAATGTTTAACAGTGGTTTGACCTAATTATGGTAAATCAGATTATATTGTTGGCAAAAGTGATTTATTAGAAACAGGAAATTAGCTAAAGATATATAAAATAGTCAGATAACTTTTAACTTCCATTGTTTGTACTGTGATATATAAAATAAGCTTTTCCGTGACATTTATTGCACTGTTTATTTATTTTTCGAAAAAATAAAATTTCCATTTAGATGATGTACGATGTCGTAATATGTACTTTTGGCTTACAACTAAAGAATCTGATAAATATATTTCATGTGAGTATCACATTTATACAACTGACGGCGGAAACAAAGTCAATATGGTTAAAGATAAAACATTCAACACATCCGTATCTAATGCCGTACCAAAGGTATCATGCTTATCACAAATTTATTGGGGTTTTATAATAAGAATGACCACTTAGAGTCAAGCGTAATCTTCTTTTGTCTCTACATCCTCTAGACTAAAAGGTCAAATCACTAATATCACTTAATATTCACTTATATTACGTAGATTTTGACTTGGTAACTAGATAAATAAGAAGTAGTTACTACTACCGTTTTTCTAACTCAAATCTACTTTCATCCAAAATTAGTTACTAGAAAAATTGGTAGTATTCCATTGGTTTCGGTTCATAGAAGCCAACCATAGACCAATGAGTGTTCAGCTAACTATAAGTTGGTTGTATTACACTGAATATAGCAGTCCTTGCTGTGTTCGTAAAATCTCAAACCAAAGTTATCATTTAATGTTTACTAGTCAAAATAAGAACCAATTGTCGTATGCACCATAAAATTTAATAATGAACGTTCAGTGGATTGTAATTGGTCTCATTTTTTAAAATATGGTAAATTATGAAAGAACGATAAAAAAATAATATTAAAAAATTTTGAGATATCTGTCAGCTCTCTTATTATATGGTACTGAATAAAGATATTATTAATAGTAGAAAAGGAATATCAAAGGCTGTTAGGTTATCATACTGTATCATTAAAGTGACGCATAATACAAACGTAAGTCATGTAACATATTAATTTATCTCAAGACAAAATTAAGATGATGATAATGATGATGTGTAGTAAGTATTGTGGACTCAAGTAATAATAAATTGATTGTAATTATGGATAGCGTTGAGTTTCGTCAAATGCATTTTTGTATATATATTACAGAAACCTCCAGTGTTTCCTGAAGGTCAAGCTGTACCACATTTGAAATCTGATCAAATATTAAATCAAACAGACGACTGTTCAGAGGTTTGTTCAACAGTTTTTGCAAAGAAGCACGCGAATAACTTACTATGGAGTATTTGGCTTCGTACAGTTATTGATCCCAATAGAAACAAATTAAATAAACATCATATGAAGGTTAGAGGAGTTACTTGTTTCGAGTTAATTTCCTAAAAACTGATTAATTTTCAATTTTTTGACTTAATATTTCGTAAATTTCTGTCAAAATGACAGAATAATTATAAGATTCATTCATCCTTTCTTACTAAATATTATTTGTATTAAGATAATAATTAAAGAAATTCAGAAAATAGGCTTTAATCATTGGAATACTTAGTCACGAGCAGTTATTCAGTCAGAAAATATTCATTATTCCTGATCATCTAAAAGTTCAACAGAAACGTCTCAAAAACAATATATTCCCCTCTTCTCTGCATTTTTGAAGCCTTTGCTATACAAATAAAGAAATTCAATATATGCATACAAAAGAAATTTGTTGAACCTCTTACATTACAGTCTTACTCAACTTAATTTCACAAATGATGTTCTAAATTTAGTTCCTACAAAATTATGAATTATTTTCTGATTAAACCTCTGATGACAAATTGTAGTCCTTCAAAGTTTATTAGTGAATTTCGATGCTTAGTTTGGTTAGTAACAGCTATCTTATGCGATCACTTATTTATTTAAACACATAAAACATTGGTACAAGGAGGGACTAAATATATATACACCACACATATTATTTGATTTGTGTGAGTGCCGGAGTACTGCACGGGCGCCCAAACTGGGGAAGGCGGTTTGCTTGGGGAGCCAAACCTGGAGCTTTTCACCTAGAAGTAAAATGCACAAGGTAGTGGAGCAACGTTGGAAGATGCAGTTCGATGGTAGCCAGTGACCAACAATAGGTTCTTACGCCGTTTGTTCTCTTAAGATGTTGGAGCCCATGTGTACTATCGGTTTGAAATAAGGGCTTTTCAACTCCCTAGGTGGACCTTCCGTTTCTACTAACACAGTTGGAGCTCCGGACATTGGCTTTTCGCCCTCTAAATTTTGTAAAATCACACTTGACGTGAGATGACAGTGAGTAGGACTTCCTTGACAGTGGCTATATACGCGTGGTCATGTGAGAGCATTTTGAGAGGGAGAACCGACTCTCCCCACCTTCGAATGTATCAGAGCATTTGGAGGTGATTTCTGCACCTCGGAAAAAATAAAACAATCGGGAACTAAACTCTGGTTTTCACGTTTTAGCGAATGGATTTTGTTTACTTAAAATTGCAGGGAACGTTTTTAGACTGGCTGGAAGTAGGGTACAAAGTGAACAATCGAAAATCAGAAGTACTATTGTAACTGGTGATAAAATAGTCTATCGTCATTTTTATCTATGAGTGATTTAAACGAAATCTAACGCTGATGATAAATGTTTCAAATCAACAAATATTATTAGATATGAGGTATCTTAATGCTTTATCCAAGATTTATTCATGGAGTTTCAGAGTTCTTAACCTCTAACTGTCCTTTTACTAGAACGTATTAGTTTGATAAAATACATATTCCTTCTGTGAGATAGCGTTAGGTGATAAATACTGTGGAAGATATAGAATCATAAAAGTCTATTGTCATTTGAGAACTTATGTTTCCAATGTAAACTAACCTCTGCGCGCCTAATCAAAACTACATTATACGTTTAGCATAACTGTTTACTTTGCACTTTTTAAACCTTAGTTTTATTGCCTTTTTCATGAATATTTGAATTTGTAGGAAACTGATGAAATGGAAGTCACTGAAGGGAAAAATTCATGTCTGACAAATTTACTTCAGTGTATTTTAACTGGCTTGATTTCTGTTGATTATGAACACTCGGATTCTGGTATGCATTTATCCATTCTATATTTACATGAAAAGCTTATTTATATTTCTAATTTTCTATTGCTTTTCATACTTCATAGTCTGTATGAACATTTAATCATTTGGGAAAAAATGATTTGAGTAACCCGTTGATTTAATCGAGCTTACTTAAAATAATTTTTTATATTTTAAGAAGAATCACATTAGCGAGTAACTCCAAAGTAGCTGTTCCACATTCTGTTATTACTTATCAGTCATTTGTACTCAACAGATCATTCTTCAGACAGTTCAATTTGAGTGCAGTACAGTCATGTATTGATTTAAACAAAAATTTAAAAACATTTCTTTAATGAATAATTCCAACTGGCTTTGTTCAAAACTGAGATTAGAAAAGTCTTAAAATCTTATGAGGTTTTCAGCATAGGGTTGTGAAGATTGTTGAGTTTAGAGTGATATCATGAATGAATCAATGTTAGACCACCATTGGAAACTTGGAAGCACTAGATGGCCCTTTCGTTCCGGTATGTGACTCCTCAGCAGCGCACATCCACTACACCGTAAGTATGACTCAAACCCAGGACCCTCGGTCTCGCGTGCAAACGCCTAAATGCTAGACCACTGAGCCTGCATCTAACGGTGTTAATGTCTCACTCCAACCAATCCACGATATTGTGCAACCTTTCACCATTGTTTTCAGTGAGTAACTGTCTCACAACAGACACAGTTGAACTCCACTGGTCATCGCTCCTCGGTAGAACTCCAAGAAATCCATCTTGAATCCAGTCACATATTTTCCTAGCTCTATTTGCAAGGCATTTGACTAGGTTTCTCTTATAATGAATGAGCATAAAGCTCAAGAAATGTGTATACTGGCTTGCTAAAGAACTTTTCCTATACACACTTCTACTTATAAAACCATTTTGTTTTCTTCTTAAAAAAACATCAAGGAAATGTAGTTCATTATCAAGGTTCTGTTCACACGTAACCTTGATTACTGGAAGTTTATTGTTAGATAGTTTCATGGGTTCTTCTTTTCCAATGTTCTGATTGGCGATAATGAAAGCGTCATCAGTGTGACGACAGTAGAAGTCAAGCTTATCGATAACTTCTTTGATAACTATCATGTGCTAACTAGTGACCGAGGGTCCTGGGTTTGAGTCATACTTACGGTGTAGTGGATGTGCGCTGCTGAGGAGTCCCATACTGGAACGAAAGGGCCATCCAGTGCTTCCAAGTTTCCAATGGTCTAACAGTGATTCATTCATGACGTCAATGTTATAAGATTGAATCATCAAGATGTAAAGATGCCGTTTTAATTTCTCTTGAATATTAATATTTCTACTATGATAATTGAAGTCAAATGAATTATAATCATGACAATAAATTTGTTTTCAGCAAGTGAATGGATCAACACACTTTTTTTCTTATTTTTCAAAAGGACTGACTCCAATTATGGTGTGTTCTGCTGGTGGTCTCCTAGAAGCTGTCAAATGTTTATTGCGTCATGGAGCTGATCCATTTATGCGTGTAGCTATTCCGTACGAACCTTTAATTGAACTAGCTCGCAAACAATGTAAAGATTTTAAACTTTTTGGTCCAAAGAATCGAAAAATCTCGACCACAGATGAAAACTACACCATCGTAGGCGTTACAGCTTATGATTTAGCCTGTATATTCGATAACAACGAAATTGCAAACTTACTGAAAACATATATGTAAGATTTATAATTGTTTTCTAAATGAGTCGTGACTATTTTTCAGTGTATCACTAGTTTTATGTTAAAATAATGATTTCTGAATGCTCATAGTGTATGTGGAATAACTTTATACCAATATTCGTTTTTATTATTCTTGAGGGCTTATAAACTATAGATTATTACAGAATGCTAATATTTGGGACTACATCTATTATATGAAACCTAATAAAATCTAAGCCATTATCTACTCACATTCCATACTTTTTTAGGATTAATTCAAGTCTTCGACACGAGCCTGAAAACTGGGAGGCTATACTTCTAAGATTTGGATCTTGGTTTCAAAGTCCGATAGGCAGATCACAATTTGATAATTGTACTTTAAAAGATCATCAACCATTTACAACTGATTTAGGTAGTTTGGAAGAAACAAAAGTATTAATGAATTCCCTGAATTTCCGTTACAAATTACTTTTATCCTATCAACTAGCTAGAAATAATATGGAGCCAGAAACGATAGTGGATCATGATCTTCTAACGGCATTAATTGTGAAAATCGACAGTTCGTTACCAAGAGGTAAGAAGTATTATTTTTACATCAGTTAGATGAAATATCTCTAAATTTAAAACTTGTTCTAACAGTTTTATTTTAATAGTCGCTCTAACTATTTGATCATCCACAGTCCAATTTAGTACTATAAAATGAACACATTATTATTCTTTAAACGCATATGAATATTAGTTAAATCTCATTTAATTGTCCCTAGAATTTTTTGATCCCTGAATGATTCATTTTTGTGCAAGATTAACGCTTTCTTTTATTAATCAGTTTACGAGGATGCTTCAAACCTTGAAATAACGTTGTACTACTGTCAATCAAGAAATGCTCAAAGAAACTTTGTCTCTTATTGCATATATGTTTGTTAATAATGGTAATAAAAAAAACATCTATTTTCAAGATTTTTATAATAGCCTCAACAGAGTTATCCTGCGGAACTCGATAATTTTTCCACCGTTATTCTCAGTACTATTTACGATACTGTTTTTCTTCATTGTCATTATGAAATAAAGGAAATCACTTGTAGCTGAAGTACATCCTTTTTATGATGTTGCATTTACTGAATACGATGATTTATTTTCACACTTCTCAATGTTGTTTCAAACAATCATTACTGAAATCTGTTCTCTTTTTAAAGTTTCCTTTCCTGTCACAATGAAAATTATTGTTAAAGATGATATTTACTCCGCCATAGCATTTAAAGACTAAAATTAATTAAAATGTAGTGTTCATAGGAGTTTTATTTTGTACTATGAAGATTTTCTTACTCACCTGATACTATTTAGTAGAAAAGCATTCTATATACAGTGACCAACAAAATATATTACAGAACAAATACATTTTAAAAACTAGAGAATAGTAATCTTACGCATATTATTCGTCTAAATAAGCCTGTAATTTTCATTTTTAGGTGCTATATTAATATTCCTGCCATCATATGAAGAGATTATGACGCTACGAGGACGATTACTGGATCCTGACACTTCTCCATGGAAATCACCGGAGTAAGTGAATAATGCACCTTTTTGTTTTTACGTAAACCCTATCCTATGTCATATAGACTGTGTTATAAATAATGGTTGATTTTTGAAGATCATAATATGTACGATATCAAAAGTTAGTCACTGCATGGTTTGATTTCGCTTGTTTTGAACAAAGCTTACATCCAGGCATATTTACAAAGGCTTAAGTAGTCAACTTTGGATAGTTTGTTTAAGTATTCAGTATCTCTCAATAAATGTTTGATTTTTAAAAATTCTTTTAATGAAGGTAATTTTTTTTGAATATGAGAACTTTCTACCCTTAAATATTGTTTTGTTTATTATTTCTTAATTTAATATGTTTACTGAATTTTATTTTCACTTAGTATGTAATATCAAGTAGTCATTTTTTGTTTTTTGAACATTGAATTTATTCTGCAAGTAATTCACTGTTTGCTACCTATTTGATTGAATATGATGGTAAATGAATAAAATGCCCTAACTTATAGCATCTGGTGAAGTTTACTCAGGTTTTATTAAGGCTCATAACTATGAAAAACTCAACCATTTGTTGTTATATTGTGGTATGTGCTACTGATGTCGACAAATATAAGTAGTATGTGTCATCAATCGAAAGTGAAATGCCTAGTGGCAGAGGGTTACGAAGATCGAAGAAAAGAGGACGAGAACAGAGAGTTATTGCTATGGAAACAAAGGAACAATGAAGTCTGAGACGATTGATTGACAGTTTGCAAATGAAGTGTTTACTGTATGGTTCTCAGATTTTACTAAGAGATTCTGTATTTCTGTGTTCAAATACATTCGACTTTCCCCACTAGTATTCTCGTTTACTACAACTTTTGCTATTCACATATCACAGTCCCTATCACAACGCTGGATATGCTAATTACATCCGAATCACAACTTTAAAATTATAGTATTCTTCACCTTAATAACATGTGAATAATAATTTGAATCACATATACAACTAATTTAAAAGTCGATGTGTTTATATTTTCGGGAATATGTTCTTTTTTTACATTGTTTCTAATGCACCCATCCTTTAGTAATTATATTCATTTGCCACCTTTTCAGAAAGCCTTTAATATTTATTCTTCACCCTCGAATGCTTGTTGCTGATTTGAAAACTATATATGCTCAGTCTTCACGTTCACACCGTAAATTAGTAAGTGAATTGAATTAATGTGAAATATATGTAACAATATTGACTGTTATGTTCTTGCGATTACTCTATTAGGACAAAAAATTAAATTATCCAGTAATTGTTGTACTCAAATTTCAAGTAACGGAGTTTTACTTTTCTCCATATGTCTTTTACTCTACTTAATTTGTTGTCTAAAAACTACTATCATACTGAAGCACAGCTGAGTAAATGAAGAATATTCTTTCAATGAATTCTTAACAGTTTCGACTGTTATACATTTGAATTAATGATTATTCTATGAATGTAAGATTGTAGAACCTAGTAAGAGTTAATTGGACAGAAAAGTTTTGATGCATGCATTTCCGTTTCAATATATTGTCGCTATGACTGTCAAACATTTTGATTTACCAGTGAAAAATCAATAGGTCCTTTTTTACATGAGTATGTTACCATGGTGCTGATGATGAATCTGATGTTTTGAAAATAGTCTGTAAACAGATAAACATTGTTCGGCAGTAGGTTGACATTACTGTAACTGAAGATTTAATGGATTGAAGTTAAATGTTTACATTATTTGATTCTCTAATCCTCTTTAGCACTGTTTTTATTAGTATATTATCCTACAATCGATACACCCTAAAGGTCAAAGGCTCGCTATGCAACATGAAATTCCTAAGTTCGATACTTAATGATGTCGTGTATTCACACTATTGAGTGGAGCTATACTATCATAATCCATCTGTAAAATGTTATGTAGTTTTGAGTAATTGTCTAGTTGAAGTCAATTCACAAGGCAAACTACAGAATAATCAGTCTCAGCAAACCCCTATACTATCAAAGAAATTTGATTCCTAATAAAACATTAACTTAATTCAGCAAGTAAATTTAAGAAATACAATTTGATAAGTAGATATTTTAAAGGAATAATATGTTGTAAACAACTTCTCTATCTCATTTATAGATACTTTCGTCAAGTATCGCAGAGTCATCCATGACGTTTGATGATGTCGTTTATATTATTGACTGTGGATTGAACTATGGGGTATGTTATATGATAAACAATATGTTAAAATCAAGTTATTTTGGCTGTATTATGTTATCATAAAGAACAATGACACATGATCCTTCTAGCAAATAATTTCTGTCAGAGAAAAAAAAGGAAAAACGAGTTTAAGTACCATAAAGTGATGTTTTGATGTATTTCTTAAGCTTCGTAAAACACTATTTTCTAAGATATCTACTATAAAAAGTAAATTGCTATGCATTGTTACTCTCTAGTTTTATTTATGTGACCATTTTTACAAGAAATTAAGTTTAATATTGATTTAAATTGTTTGTTCGTTTTTTCGTAGATAACATTAAAGGCTAGATTTGATAAATCTCTACAGGCTCATGTGTACCCTGAGCAGATGCCTGCATATGTACTTTAGTTACGAATCCTATTACGTTTTGGATCCTGATTAGCAGTGGAATTCATGATACATATTTTGTTCTATTCTGGGCTCTTTAGCTGGTTATGCTCACATCCCAGTGTTGATGTTTTAATCTAGACTTAGTATCTATCGCCTCAAATAGTGACGCGTTATCTACTAAGTTATCAAGTTAAGACAGTCACTAATTTATTCATTGGGTATGATATTTATTATTCGTAGGACTTCCATCTTCGATATGACTTAATTGTTACTAAGGGTTTTTTGAGTTTCATGATTAGATTTCTGGCCACTATAGCAATCATTGAGTTTAAAGCAATTATTCCCTGTTATAAATTTTGATAAGACAAGGAGGAGACGGAGTTGATCTGAAAAATGTGGTTTCCACACAAAATGGCTTGAGAAATGTGTTTATGACCAGATTGTTTGAAATGTATGGCGCAAATACACCACATTTTTCAGACCAACTTCTCACTGTTATATCAGAAAGTATAATTATTTCCTTTCATCTAACATATGTAATCCCTGACTGGTAGATTTTCATTTTAAAAATAATTTAGGATTTATCACTGATTTTCATCTCTTTTACCTTCAGTTTATGTCATTTTATCCTAAATTTTTAGCGGCAATATGCTTATTTATATATAAGTGGGAGTTGTTGTCTATGTAGCATTTTTTTAAATTTCAGATAAAACTGAAAAATATACTATTTTCCTTCTTTATGTAACTACTTTTTTTAAGTGAGTGTAATCTATACAAAATTCAATCCCTCTTATTTAGTATTTACAAATAAATGCATTTTGATGTTAATTTTTGAAAAGATAATATCTTACCGCTATGATGTTCACATTGCGTTTTCCACAAATCAAAACCACTGACCTTTGACGTATTGTTTCCTTTAATTAGTTTGATGAACTTGCTAAGTTTGTGACGCAGTTTCTATTTTTCTTAGTAGTCAACGAAAATAAATGAAATTTATGACTACTACTATTATCAGATTATTATTATTGGAAGACTAAGTATACTCTGATAAAACATTTTGATATTTACATTTCAGTTAACAATTGACAATACCCTACGTATACGTTAAACCCTTTTATCTAAAATATATTTTAAGATATTAACTGTATTTTTGTTTTTATTCAAAAGGAGGAGTTCCTTGATTGGACTCAGACCACATCATTAAGAAACCAATGGATTTCAAAGTCAAACGCAATTCAAAGAAAGTCCAGGTACTTTCAACATAAACCTATACGCTTTATACAAAAGTTAACGTCTGTATTATAATTGAAAATCCCAGTCAAATGTGTTAGGAAATGTTAATACATGCTTGATACAAAGCTTCTGTTACGAATCCAAGAAATACCACACTAAATATATAAACTACCCTTTTCATTCATACCAGCGTTGGTTAGATCTTCATTCATAGTAACGTGTATGAGCGATGATGGAGGTAAATTTATTTAAGAGATGTTTCAGATCCAAAACAAAGAATTTCAGTGAGTTTCAAGAAACTTACCACTCAGTTTAGTCAGTAACCAAAGTTTTGGCCTTAAAAATACTTACCGAAGGAAGGAGTTGCTGAATTGGGAGTAAAGCATTTCCCTAAAAACTGTACATCGATTATGTGCTAGGTATATTAAGATGTTAGACGAAATGGTCCAACAACTTATCTATATATTTTATATTTCAAACAACAGTGAAAACCAAAAGTTTTGGTGGGAAACAGCAAAATATGCTCGAATAATCTTTGTCTAATTCATGATATTTGTTAAATCAAAACTTGGGAATTTCATCTAACCCGATTTTTATTTATACACCAATCCTAAAATTCAAAACTGATGCCCTTGTTCTGTCCAAATCATAGAATGATTGACTGAGTGTATTTAGGGATAACTATATATCTAAATTAAGTACTATTTTTGGGTTTATATCTAAATGACATTTTCTGGAATATCATGTTGTATGGTTAAACTGACATTTATTTCTATTCCCTAACTTTTATCCTCAGTCACTAGTACTAATACTAGTATTTTATTGAACTTAAGATATAGTCGATTTGGAGTAGTAGTTATATCATTTTAAAATAACTGGTTAACCATGTATCAGGAAGATTAATAAATAATCTTTATAAGCAGATAATAACCTAAGCAAACGTAAACAAATGAGGTACAATGAATTGTCTTTTGGTAATAACTATCGTTAGGTGAGAAATATTTCGTTCTTTAAACAGACTTTATTTTTATGTTGTTTATAGATTGATAGTACTGAACACTGAAACCTTTATGAAATTTTAGAAGCAAATATAAGCCGTTGCACCTATTCTGAATTTTATTAGCATAATAAGCTATGATAAATCAATTTTAATTAAGCTACAATGAACAGGCTGTATCTTAACCCTTTGATAAATACCTTTTACACTACAAACAGAATTGGAAAAAACATAAACGGAATATGTTTTCGTTTGTACAGTAGCTTACGCTACAGTTTTCTTCCTGAAGAAAGACGTGGAAGTCTAAGTGGACATGTTATTGAAGTAAGTTAAGTTCAAAGTTTAGTCCATTTGAATCTCATAGAATACTAATTGGAAATATTCTTTTTTCTTCCGATGGTGGTTCACTTCTACATCTTAAGTAATCTTATGCATCGAATATCTTCAAGTCTATTTCTCGAGGCACAGACAGTTAAACCAGTGTCTAACAGTCAATAAAAAGTTACTGCTAGCAAATGATTCTGTTGATATTTTGTTAAGGCTACTGCGATATTTATATCAACGTGGCAGTGTGCGTTTCGTCATGGTAAATGGATATCAAAATGTAATGATACAATAAAATTTAGCTCTCAGTTACCTCTGATTATCTGAATAATCTCGATAGATATTTTGGTAGCTACTTATCTACGTGATGACAGATAAAATATTGAATGTTCATTTTGAATTGTACATCCAGCATTTCTGCAAATGTCATTATTTACAACTAACATTTGCCATTGAATTCTAAATAGATTCGGTTTTTTCCAGAAATGAATAAGACTTTGGAAATAGTCAATTTCATTCGATGCTGAAAGTTTTGAGCTCAACTAAATGCATTTAGAAATCATGTACTAAATAAGCTGAATGATTTAACCATAAAGCTCTCATTATCATTATTCACAATATCAGTGGTTACTTTAAATCTGTGTAAAATTGTTTGTTTTTTCGTTCTCTGTTCCCGTAAAAGAATGCTTCTAGATCTCAGTCAAATTTTTAACTATAGTCTATAAACGTGCTATTTACAACTCAAAGTTGTAACTGTAATCTTTCATGAGCTATACCGGTTGTCTACTTAGTTAAGGGATTTAATCACTTTGAATTAGTTGACACTTCATTGTTGACATAATTTATCACTCAACTATGAATTTATAAAAAGTGACATCAAGAGGTTGAAAGGACAGTAAACAGATGTCAGTAGATTATTTATCGTAATTAATTGCAATATTGTTGAATTAATTACATCATTGTGTTGATGTTAAATTGCATACCAAATAATTTTGTTTAGAATTGAGTAAGGCTCTTGTAAAGCAAAGGTTCAACTGACTAACAGTATGTTTTTACAAAAGTAGTTGAATTTCTTTCTTTGTTTCATAAACAAGATGTATGCAAACAATGGAATAGTAGTGATTTAACGAAATATTTTAAGGAAATTTACTGAAAATACTTTCTTGGCAACAATGGTCAGCGTATATGTAAATGACTGCTATTCTAGGAAAAAATATTAATGCCCAACTAAAGACAAACATTTAATTTTTCTCTGAATTTCGGTTATTTTAATGACTGAGTGAAGAACCAAGTGGATAGTTTCAAGCATGAAACAATCAAAAATAAAATGATAAAAAGTAACCACACTTATGGCTTAATTTTATGTATTACAAAACATAGAAAAGGAACTATTGTTATACTGCTTTGTGAAATACTGTCTTTTGTGCTATATCTTTTGAAGTGCTAAAACTCGATAAAAACAAACGTTGTAACAGCGGAACTTCTATCTTAATTAATAAATAATTAAGAGGTGGTTATTGTTTATTCCCTGAATCAGTTCAGTGTTGAAAAAATATGTATATGAAAATGGTTAATTTACCTACTTTAATTTCTAGTTTCCAACAATAAAATAATAAGTGGAGGGACAATGATTTTCACGGGTAAAACATCTAGTCACTACAGTTGACCATAGATTTTGATGGAAATTTCTCTTTTCTTAGTAACAACTTACACTGAAGACTTTAATAATATCATGATTTTTCGTAAACACCAAATTACTACTTTGTAATATCTGTTTGTTTTCATATTTAGGAGATGTGTATTCAAGCCCGACTGCTTGCACCATCAAACATTACCTTACAAACAGTACTGAGTGCATTGCCGAAACCGCCTTCACCAAAATCTTGTGAACACGCTATTGAAACTCTAAAAGTAACCACGTTTTTTAAGGATCTCTTGATATTGAAAATTTATTTTTTCCTCATCTGAAAATAATTTTTAAGATTTTGGAAAGTTGATCGTGTATAATGAAGTTTCCTCCTGGGTCTTCGCATGTTCCCACAGAGCTATTTAAATTCGCTCAACATTACAAACTTTAGAAATCACCCCTCAACATTTATGAAATGGTAAATGAAAAAATTAAGCGATTTTAAGTCAAAAAAGAATCGACAAACATCAGAAATAAGTTACTTGCTTTTGCATTCGATTACTTTTTAAATATTTCAAGAGACTAACTTTTGGTGCTTCAAGTATTTGCGAGTGCAACGTTTAGCGCACAAGTTTATACCTTACTTAAATAATACTATATCAGAAAGTTTTACTAACTTAATCAAGAATGCTCTAAAAATATACTTCTGTTTATTCATTATTTTAGGTGCAGTTTTGTTTTTGAATATTTGAAATCTTATTAGGGTGTAGTGATTGTTGGTACCGAATAAGGAAAAATGTTTACATTTCAAACGAATTGAATTTTTCGTTATCCGCTGACCAAATCAAAGATGTCTCTTTGAGTTATTCCCGATATTAACGATTTATCCCGATATCATTTACAACTATGCATATACAAATTTCCGAATTGAAATCCAAATAAAATCACACTCCACCTTTATTATTCCTGGTTATTGTTTTAATATTAGAATCCTAATATCTTTTAGTAAGTAACATGTAAATCACGTAATTTCGCATTGTCGATTAACATTAGGAAATGGATGTATTGGACACTTTTGAAGAATTAACTGAATTGGGTTATCATATTTGTGACATGCCTATACCACCTCGTTATGCTAAAATGGTTCTATTCAGCGTTGTATTAAAATGTCTTGATCCAATTCTTACAATTGCATGCATACTGACGTACACGGAGCCATGTAAGTTAAAATTTTAGAATTACTGATCATATTATATATATATATATATATATATATATATATATATATAGTTACTGATTATTGTAAGCAAAGATGGATAGTGGCTAGCAGTGGAATCCAGGACGCGCGTTTCGTCCTATTTAGGACTCGTCAGCTGGATGTACCTGCATCTCAGAGTTGATGTTCACTCTGGGACTCTTTCGCTTTAAACGCCATCGCGTTATCCACTCGGTCACTGAGTCCTGATAGCCACTTGCTTGTGCGATGGGGTTTTAATTCATTCAGTATTGTTTGTTTGAATCTTTCCATCGATGTTTTGGACTGATTATTGTTTTTCGTGAACTTAACGGATCTACAATAAATAAATCTGTGAGAAGAACTTATCGTTATTATAAATGTATTCTTCGCAACTTTTGAAGTGATGCATTTATTACACAATAGGGATTGTCAATGCATTAAAAATATTTATTAAAATAAATGCCATAGTTTTATCAAGACATTGTAACAAAAGAATCACAATATTTATAAATTCATTACTAATTTCGACATTTATTAGGAATTTTTAATACTATGTGTACACCGAGTCGTAGGCAAGTATTTGATTACTTGTAACTTCTAGCATATTCGAATACTCGGTTATACAAATACAAATATCAACTATTTTTCAACCCGTTCATTTAAAACACATTCAATCTAAGCTTTTTGTGTAAGCTTTTTGTATCATTTACATGATGCAGGCGAAGATTTAGAGAAGTCCTTGCCTAAATCTACTTCATATTGGAGATGCTTTAGTCATCTGTAACTTGGAATCTAAGTTATGCATGCAAAAACTGTTTGGATGCTCTATATGTTTTACCTTCACGCATATACATATATTTCGATTTTCTATAATTTCGTTATATTATTATTAGAAAAGATTATTCTAATTCAAATTATTTGTTACATCCATATTACACCCTTTCATTTCAACAATTACGTTTATCATCTTCACATTAACTGGTAATCATGATGATTAGGTATCTCCTGTATTTCATTTAATCCACCTTCTATAAACTGTTTACTTAGAATTGTGTAGTTGATTTCTGATTACAATTTGCTGACATATTATTTGTTTTTTAATTCGGTTATAAAGTTGGTACTAATTTTTTCTTCCATCTAAATTATCATGGACAACTAATTTTTCATATTCTTATTCAATTGGTTTTTGAAGTTATACTACCTAGAAATGCAGCTGAACGAAAAGATTTAATGAATATTCGAAGAAGTTTATCATCAAACAGTTATAGTGACCATATGGTGTTATTAAGAGCTTTCCAGGTATATATATTATTATTTTTAAACATAGTATAAAAAACAATTAATCCGTTCAGTTTTGGCAAAAGTCTCGCTCAGAAGGATGGGAGAAGGCGTTTTGTCAAAAACATTTTATATCTTCTGCAACTTTTGAAGTTATTATCGCTATTCGGTGGGTTTACCTCTTACATTTTAGAATAAATGAATTTACTCAACTGAATGTCGCACATAATTTACTGACTAAAAATTGAGACGATCATAGTGCTTTTTTATTCTGATTACGAATGGTAATGATAATGAAATAGGAACCTCAATCAGTCAAGTGTTATAAATATTAATATGCCTTGTTGTTTAGTTTCATAATAGACATAGAAAAAATACTCAAATATCATAATTCACTATAAGTCTGAGTCGAATTTGAAATATCAAACTGCTGAATAGAACTATCTCTCAAAACTTACAAACAAGTTAAATTATATTATCAATCATCAGCTCAATTCAAATGTCTTTTTTCCAGTTGAATATCACAAATTAACAATAACTTTTCATCATAGTAAATTGTGAGAATGAAAAACAACAATCATTATAAACTGTACGAGATGTTTAAAAGACAGAAATTGGCATGGTCAAATAAAATCCCCCATAAAATAACACCTAGGATTGCATTCATGAATATTTCTCTTTAAAACTGGCAGATTTTGTGTTTACATTCTTTTTAATTTCGTTAACATATTCAAATACTTTTGTAAACTCATTGAAATCATGACCCAAGTTAGACCAGCCATGCAAACCTAGAAACACTGGACGGCCGTTCCGACTTAGTATGAGACACCTAAGAAGCACGCATCCACAACCTGCACGTAAAAATCAAACTCAGAACCTCTGGTCTCGTGCGCGAACTCTTAATTCCTAAAACAGTAGTTCTGGTTCTAACGAAGTTAATGTCTAGCCTCAAACAATCCACGACATTGCGCGATCATCTTCATTCATTTCTGGTGGGCAGCTTCTTCACAACCTTTACGGATTAGCTCCACTGATGAAGGCTTTTCATTAGAACTCCAGAAATTTCATCTCAAAGTTAGTCACTGGTGAGCATATGTTAACTGTCAGTAAGGGGTTGTAGAGATTGCCGAATTTTAATGGTAATTTAACTTAGAAAGACTAATGGTTTCCATGAAATTCAACAGTCTCCACAACTCCTTATTGGCTTCTATAATCACAGTCAATTTCATAATCTGTTTAATAAACGAAAATTTTAGTAATGATTTCGTTAGTATATTTTTACGTCTTAAGCTTGAAACACCCTTATAAAATCTTGAGTAGGATTTTGAATCAGTAACTGAAAGGCTTTACCTCATTAACATGATTTTTACAAACTGTCTGTTTAGAACTCAACTACTTGGGCAACTTAGAGCTTCTGGCTTCGTAAAAACGAAAGGAAGTGGAGATATTCGAGACCTTAACAGCAATTCCGAAAACTGGGCTGTTGTCAAAGCTGCAATTGTAGCTGGTATGTATGGAAATTTAGCTCAAGTAGATAGGAACAATTCGTGTTTGAGAATAGTAAATGGAAATTCAATGCCAGTAAGTTTTACAATTAATTTTTTGTATGAGACGTCAACAACATGTAAGTGCAGTCCTTATATAATCAATAATGCATCATAAAAATGGTTGTATGTTTCACAGTGAATGAATCACTTTGTTCTATTGGATCTTTATAATTCAAGCTCCATCCTATATGTTAGATTGTTTCACAAAGTAGTCCAAGATCAAACTTCTCACCTTAGTGTTCTATTACTTAATTACTTACTTACGCCAGTTCTATGCTGCAACAAAAACAAAATCAAATGTTATTACAAACACATACCAAAATTACCGTTGCATCAGAATGTTAATAGACATATGTCCCACAAAATGATGAGGGATAATGTTTCCAATAAATCACTAAACAGGACAACCGAAGCCAACGAAAACACTAACCCAGTCAACATTGCGTAATTTTCTTTGCTTAAATAATAAAGCAAGCTCTTATATGTGCAAATTATAACTAGAGCATACCAGAAGTTTATCAACTAATTAGTGTTCAAACTTCTGATTGCCTTGAAAGACTGATAGGTTGATAAAAAAAATCAGTTTGTCTGAACTAGTTTAACTTGCTTACTATAATACATGTGTTTTATAAAAAAAGAAGGCAGATCTAGAAAGATTTTAAAACGGTAAGTTCTAAGCAAGGATAATAACAAATCAAGCTTCGTATGTTACATTTTTTAAACTTTTTCTATGACAAGAGTGATTGTTGTTATCTAATCGACTGTTACACTTTTAAACTTATTTTAGGTCGTGCTTGATACCCAATCTGTAGTCGCTACAAATGCTAATGGGGCAGAAATGAATGTAAACGATTTACCTTGTGACTGGCTTGTTTTTAATGAAGTGCTTACTTTAACTGATCCAAAGTTACACACCTCTCCGGAATCTAACAATACAGATCATTTGGCATTAAAGAAACTAAAGATCATAAGATGTGTAAGTATCGTTTCACCAATTACTGTAGCGCTAATGGGCAGATCGATCAGAGTATGTCCACAGATAGAAAAAGAAACCCATTCAATTGCAAATGGTAAGCAAGTTTGATAATTAGGTAAAATGCATTATTTTCTACGCAATAGTAACAACGTGGCACAGAAAAAATATCAATTATTGTTTTACTGATATAGACAAATGTTTCTAAGACGGACAGGAGTTTAGTGTCTATGGGTACGAATTTACACTAGTCATTCATCTTACACTTCTACAAAAGTGATTCGAAACTCAGTCATTTAAACACTTTTAGTTAGGTTGAATACAAATTAATTGGCCGAATTTATCTAATATTATGGTGAAGGACATCTCACTTTGATATGAAATGACATACCTATCGGCTATTAACTTTACTTCCTTACCTAATAGCTGTATTAGAATTCATAAATCTAAATATTTAGCGAATTTATTCATAAAAATGAGATCCTTTACTAGTAGGACGGTCTGAGTTATGGTAACATTTATTTTGAGTACAACGAAGGGTCTTTCTTGTGGATGATTCTCGTTATCTAGTTCCAACTTTGCCAATAATGCAGCGTTGAAGATAACTAATTGAGCAACCAATATTTAGATAGTTAATCTGTTCTATAAAAATATTTTAGATTCTTTATAAGACGCAATACTTCCCTCTAGGTATGTTGAAAAGATTAAGTTTTAAAAACATCTTGAAAAAATCTGAGAATCTCCAGAATATATCCTTGAAACTCATTGGGATGCACGGGGACTGATCTACATTTACAGTGTTGAACAAGGTGAATCTATATTACGTAGCTATATTCTATTAGAGGAAAGAGTTATGTCATCAGTACTAGATTTTTAGTCTTTAGATTATAACTATCAACCTTAATGGCTCGATCTTGAGTTAAAACTCTTAAACAGCTTCCTTATTGGGGAAAAGTAATCTTTTTTCCAAACACGTATCTCATCATAAAGACTGTATTTATTATATAAAATTCGTTTTATTTATTCGTTTTCTGAAAATAGATGAAGTCAGATGCAAATTGAAAGATGATTTAAACGAAACAAGTTCTTTGACAAATTTTCAATGAGTACTACTTTTATTGAACAACATTATTCCTTCTTATATAAGAACTGTCGTCTAAATTAGAGCGAATAGTTTCACAGTATTTGAGCGCCGAGTTGATGTAAGACATTAAATAGGAATAATATATTTTTCATAGTAGAAAGCATGAGTCAATTGAAGCTAGACCACCATGGAAAACCTGGAAACACTGGACGGCCGTTTCGTCCTATTATGGGACTCTTCAGCAATGCGCATCCACGAACCCGCTCTCACGAGATTCAAACCCAGGACCTACCAGTCTCGAGCCGAAGCCCTTAACCGATAGACCACTGAGCTGGGATCCAACGGTGTTAATGTCTAACTTCAACTGATCCACGAAGTTGAGCAACCATTCACCAATTGTCTTCAGTGAGTTCCTATCTCACAACAGACGTGGTTTTGAACTCCACTGGTTAAGGGCTTCGGCTCGAGACTGGTAGGTCCTGGGTTCGAATCTCGTGAGAGCGGGTTCGTGGATGCACACTGCTGAGGAGTCCCATAATAGGACGAAACGGCCGTCCTGTGTTTCCAGGTTTTCCATGGTGGTCTAGCTTCAATTGACTCATGCTTTCTACTATGAAAAATATTAAATCTCCACAAAACCCCTTCTGATAAGGAATAATATATATTTGTAAAATCTCAGCGAATGAATTTGTAGTAAATCCAACTTTTCACCTGGCGATCTGGTCCAAGCTTTCAATGATTCTAATCAGTTGTCTTATCGGAATTTGTTAAACAATTCACTGGAACATTAAAAATTGACACATATATACAGTTTTAAAAATTACACTCTTTTTATTTTTATCAGAAGGGGTTTTGTGAAGATTTTAGTAATTTATAGAGTTGAGATCATGAGTCAATTGAAGCTTTTATTTTTGTTTAATTATCTTCATTTTATACATGCTGTGACAGACATAATTCATATCATATATTACAAATTGTATGTCTTTCATAGTAGAAAGCATGAGTCAATTGCATGTTTCCTTATAAATTCACTGATAAGAGACAATATATTGTGTGAATGTAATTTCTCCTCTCACCTCTTACATTTTCTATACAATATGTTATATGAACACTCATCACACTTCACATCACATATCTCTTACACACTAATACACATACCTAGTTTTAACTTTGTTAACGTTGATTGAATGACCTATTCAGTGTACAATGAACCCGGAGAACCACGTACCTATTTATATTCGATAATTTTGATATTTGATTATAATTCCTTGAAAAAGCTTGGACCAGATTGTCAGGCGAAACGTTGGATTTACTACAAATTCATTCGTTGAGATTTTACAAATATATATTATTCCTATTTAATGTATTATTCCTTCTTATTTATGGCTTTTTAGTGATCCCAGACCTAAATCTTAAAGCATCTTTGAAAGAATTGCTAAGGCAGGAGTGCAAAAACTCAGTTCACGAACAGGAAGTCTGTAGTTGTTTAAGTAACAAAAATGAATATAATGCCGGCAAGGCTTATGTGAATCCAGGAGACAGATTGGAAAATGATTTAAACTCTAATTCTGTTTCAGAAAATAATATGACTGCCACATCGATTTTGGAAAACAACGGACAATTATTATCGCCATACATCCAGCAAAATATACATAAAACGCTACCTACAATGATGCAACAAAAAACAATCAAGCAAAATCCATACAGTATGTTGTCTGACTCGGATACGACAAGAAGTTCCAGTTTTAAAATCTCGGAACTAAATGATTCTGCTCTAAAAATGTTAAAATATTTTAATTCTATGCAAATCTCAGACTGTTTCGATCATGCGAAATCACTATTTTTGCAAAACCAGACTAAACTTAGTCAGCCGTCAGTAGAACAACCAAATATGGAGTCTTCATCATCAACAAACGTCCAGAAAAATAGTATCGTATCGTTTCATTTAGACCCACATAAATTTTTTCGATTCACCGTGAATTCAAGTGAAGCATTAATGGTGACAGAACTAAGACAAAAATGGCATGCTTTGTTGTTGCGCTGTTTGAAAAATCCAGGGAAACATTGTTCACAACAAGATGAGGTAACATAAAATTGTTTGATACTAATTACTTGATTATCAGTATACATGTTTGTGGAGATTTCCAAGTACTATTGATATCATTGACCGACCTAAGTTAGACATCCAGTTAGAACTATGAAGGAGTGGATAGATGTTTCGTCCTAATATGATAATCCTCTGTAGTGTGTCCACAACCCTACTGTGGATCGAACTCAGGACCTTCTGTCTCGCATGCAAACACTTGGCTAGTGAGCGGGAATCCTATGGTGTACTTAACCTCAACCAACTCACGCTGTTTGTAATCACTGATCAATTATGTGAAATACAACCGACAGACTACTTTCTCGTACAAAGTATTGAAGATGATCCTACAGTAATCTTCACTCAACTGTTAAACATTATTAATATTTTTTATTCTTGTCCCGTGCTTCTTATCTACTTATTGTCTGTAAAGTAATCAACAACCTACTACAGTTTCCAATCACGATGGCTATCGAATCAATTCAGTTTTTCGTCTCATATCCTTGCTTGTCATGTTTAGGTCAGCCAGTAGAAGACTATTTCGAAAAATACTTTGAAGTTACAGGGATTGGATCATAATTTTCTTGCTCAGACTATTTCTTCTCTAAATGGCTGCATTAGTTTAACCTTGTTGGTTTCCACAGAATTACATGGTTTAGGTTTTGTTTTATCGACTCATAGTGTGATTGACATATGAAGACAAACAATCTTACTTATCAGTTATTACATTTATTGAGATTATTTTATTGTGGTTTATACTGTTGACTTGCATTAACGTGTTTACAGAAATTCTATGAATCTATTTATTTTTATGAGCTCACATTAGTTACAGATCTAAAAATTTTTTTAAAAAGAATATCGTGTCATGTATTTAAGTAAAGTGGTTAGCTGAAACGCTTCAAAAAATTTGTAGTCTTTAGATCTATTGGGAGATTACTAAGTTAAAGAGATGTTTGCTACACAGTCTCATGCTGAGTGCTGATTATTATCTAGTCTGAATTTAGAAATTTCGTCATCAAGAAGGGAAAAAGTTGCTGGGAAGGAAATCGTCTTGGATTTGGTCTACAAAACTCACAAACCATAAACGAGACAGTATATTAAGAACATGAGTTCTCAAAAAATATCTCTGAAGTTATAAGTAGCTCAGTTGATGCTAAACATTTTGTGTTATTATATTTATAAATTATTACTTTGTCTAACATAGGCAGTTTTAAAGTGTTTGATCAACGTTTTGACCAATGAAGAAAAAGCATTAGGATTACTCCAACCATTCGGTGTTGGGGCACGTCCTCGTCCTATGGCAGTAGAACTTTATAATCGGGTTGATGACGCTCAAAATATCGATCCTAAAGGTATGAAAGCAATTAGTGAACAACCTGTGAGTAATAGATATGGATCAATTGTTTGTACCACAGCAGGAACTAACACCATTATGCCTATATTTTTGTCAAATACGAGCTTGGTAAAACAAAATAATTCCATGTATAATTACTTTTCAATCACAAATCCAAAACTAACAGAAGTGTTAAGTACCAATGATCTCAACAAACCCCACGAACAGTATTCGTTTCAAGTTTACAAAGGCGATAACAATACAAGTATGTACAATCCGATCAAGCAAATAAACATTTCAAGTACAGAAATATGGAAATATCCTCTCCCTTCAAATACGACAGGCAACATTGATTCTATGTCAGTCTACGAACCGTATAAAGTTAGTTAGCTCCGAGACGTTTGTAATCCAGCCGTCAAAGTCCGGTTACCGTTTTTTTGATTGTTTTTTATAATGTTCAAGACATTTCGTAACACGCTTATTTATTAACAAAAGTGATGTAGGATGGTAGTCTAATGTTTAAAACACTCAGTTCACAGCTACGAAATCGTCGGACCGAACTCCACTCTACCTACTTCTATTCGGATAAACATCACTAGTCCTCACACAAACTGTGTGATACTAAGGCAATTAAATAAACTTATACCTGGTGAATGAATTATATTAATATTAAAAAATTATATTATTTTATCAAAGGCAAACGAATAGAAGTTCCTACACGTTTGAGCCACTAAAAAATTAAATAATTAGATATTCATACGATAAATAGCTAAAAAAATATGCAGTGCATTTATATGGTATAATAGTAGAGGTGGAAATGAGATATACTCAAAATGTTACTGCTTTGTATACTAAAAACGAAATCTGGAACAATTTGAGAGTATTTTAATGAAGGAGAACACAGTTGAGGACAACCAATTAGCACAAAATTACAGTCACTAGATAAAACAGAAAAACCATACTCCAATACTTCACTTGCAAAATGTTCATTAACTGTATCAGACTTCATTGTGCCTACATTTCTATAACAATTGTTTTCTATTCCCATTCTTTCCTCCTCGATCTTCTCAACCATCTGCTGCCAGACATTCTATCCCTGATTAGCGTTATATAATACTTATATCGACATAAGTAGAACACGCCACACTATGACTGGTATACTTCATTGAGAATTCCCTCTCAGATGACATACGTTAGGTTATTTGATAACTGTACGGACAACTTTCACCACATACAATGTTATTAAATATTTGTAGCTGTAAACAACTTTCCGAGATGCCATGAAATGTTGTATTCAGAACATATTTTTTTCAGAATTATCAGAGCTGCTCGAGTCATCTACCAGCAATGTACATAATGAGTAACCTTATCTAATTAATTTGAAATATCTCATTATAAAAAAGTGACAGAAAAGGGAGTATAGATGCAAATTCTCTGATAGAGTGAGAGATAACTCTCCATTCTAATCCAACGCTGCCGTTTATAGTCATTTAGTAAACAATCATCGTGTTAAAACAAAGGATTACGTTAATATGCATAGTGAGTTGTACACTTTTATCTAATTTTAGCTTAACTATTCACTTCCTTTCTTTTTTTAGGTTTCTGAATATAATAATCATTTTTATAATATCTGGATACCATTCAAAAGATTAGCTACATCATCCTATTCACTACTAGTTAATTTCGCTTTATAAGCAATTACATGATTTAAAATAAAAATGAACCTCAACGATTTCACTTTCTTTCTATTTCAGGATATTTCATTATCAGAAGGCAAGAACACTCCAACAATTAGTCATATGACTAAAGGTTTTTCAGAAAAGCATATTAACATTCAAAACTTTAAACCTGATTCGTTACCTAATTTAAAACAGTTGGATATAGTGGAAAATAAAAAACACCAAAGCAGTGAACACGAAATTCTAGGAAGTAAAACACGCCATTATTCGACCACATCAGAAGATAAAAACAGTTTAGATACTCTGTACGGTCCTCATGCTCTAAACACTGTGACTAATCCTTTTGATGTTACCTATCCAACTGCTAATCATAATAATATAACAATGGAAAATGATATTGCTTTTCGTGACATAAATGATATAATCTATGCATTATTAAATGATGACACAAATAAAAATCATAACTGAGTTTACTTCATTATTCGACAGTGTGGTTCAAGCAAGATAATATACTAGTTCATCATTTGTTATTGACTACGTTCATCTGCACAACTTTGATTTGTTTATATTTTAACTTGTTGAAGTGTATTTTTGGTTGCTTTTTGTCATTTGTCCAGTTGCACTTTTAACCTTATTCTCTCATCTCTTAGTTTAATAACTGAAGGGGAAAGGGTTAATAATCAAGTGACTGAAAAAAGTACAACTTTAAAGCATTTCATTAGCATCTCTAGTCAGCTCTAATATAGAATGATAACACATAATGGTTGATTAGTCTTAGCACATCACAAGTAATACAAATTCTATTCATCACGTAAAATTGTTTGTGGAATTGACTTGACTGAATGATGATAAAAATAAGTTCACCATTACTATCAACGAGTATTGCTAATGAGCTCACGTTTTCAACTATCGACTCCTGCATATATCTGAAGCTTGTGAATGGTAAACCTATGAAAACCAGTATCGTTTCAGACTTGAGCATGAATGCATCGATCAAATATTTTTTCATCAGGTTTTAGAACGCAGGGATACTTTCTGACATCTGACTATAATTGTATGTCTGTGTTGACTGACAAGTCTTGTTGTCGGGATGATCCTGCAAATTTCTCTCAATCGACATGACAAGCTCATGAAACATCAATCAGCGTTTGATTAGAAGTTTTGTTTAAAGATAGCGAAAATGAAAAGTTACATGTAGAGATTCTGATTGGCTGATTACTGCTACTATGTTTAGCAGTATTATAGAATGTTCAGTAAAACCCAAGGACTTTTAAAATACTATAAAAACCCTATATTTTCTGAACATAAACGAATCTTTGGAGTAAAGTGCTTCCCACATATTTGTGCCTTTTCTCTCGTGTTCAAGTCGCTGTGTAGTTCTAGCTTGAGGATTACAAAACTAGCTTAGGATCCGAATATAGCGTTCAATCAGCAAGACTTATCACTTGTAGCAGTGTCAAATATTATCCTTGACGTCATTGAAAAATGTGGAAATAAAAAACAGTTATCTAAACACGTAAAGCGTCATGACAAGACTATTTGAGTTGTGCTTTGTAAGAATCAACACCTAACAGTTGACAGTCAACATAAAGTGATATTAAAAAGAAAATGAAAATATCCCTTCTTTTACCTTCTCTTTACGAATATACTGACCATTAAATTCATCTAGTATTGTTTGTTTGGATCTTCCCATTGATGTCTTTAGGACTGCAACTGGTCAGTCTCTAATAGGCATATGTGCATACTGTGCGTATTGCCTCGATATAGTCGCAGAGTGAACATCAACTCTGAGATGCAGGTACATCCAGCTGACGAGTCTCAAATAGGACGGAACGCGCGTCCTGGATTCCGCTGTTATCCACTATACATCTTTGCTTACCATACTGACCATTAGCTTTAGAGTTTACCACCAGAGATCCTGATTGTTCATTGCATTTCCAAACATTTAATTGTATACTATAACCATCTATTATAACTTATTGTACGATCGTTAACCGAAATCAGAATCCTATCTTGTTTACAACTAGTGTGAGAATATTTCATTTCCTTTGTAAAAAGACAAAATTACAAACTGACAAAGAATTAAACTTGAGTTTATGAATACAGTTTCGTAATTAACGTGGTTAGTGAATATAAAGTTATTGTAGTATCTGTTCATTTGAGCTATGAAACTTATCTGATACTAAGACGAAGACTAAAATGAAAATAATAAGAGAGAAAACGCTTAACTCTTTCAGAAGATTTACGCTAATATGCATTAGCTGGAATCTGGGGGACTTTAAACATATCTATAAAAACAGAAGTAAGCTGGAAGGAAATATGAGTGGATAATAAGATGATGGAGGGAGGAATTCCACTTTCTAAAATGAGAAGTAAAAACAGCTATGAAAGTTGGATTTACAATGAGCATTGTCTGAAATAACTACACCTATCACTCTAGAAACATAAGGGTGATAGACCGTATTTCAATTTTATCAGATAATTTGCTTCCGTTATTTGGTTGGAAGTAGTCAAAAACATGGCTCATAAAAAAAATTCTAACTACTCTTATGCATTGCTTATTTTATAACTTTATGAAATTATTTTTTTGATAATGCTGGTGAGAGTTATTCCGAACCACAACTGTTGTATGTAACAGTGACGTTTCAAATTATATTGCACAAGGTTAAGTCGTGTTGATACACCTAACTGGAGAAGCTAATTAGTAAGGTAAATATGTTTTACTGTATTCCACATCGAGTCTGAGGAAAATTTATAAAAGAAAATTGTTTATTTTTCAATAAATAAATTATGTACAATTTATCGTATGGGAACAGTGGAAAAGTATTTTATTTTAGTCGCTTTCCTCTTCATCACTTATTTTCGCTCTTACCTTCTTACGTGATCGAGGTTCTGATATCTGTAAAAAGAGAAATAAGATACACTCGTTGAAATGCAGAATGCTTGTTGAGAACATATATATATATATATATATATATATATATATACTTTATTCCTAAATATTACTTTCGTCTTCTTAACTAAGATTTCTTTCAATCAGTTTACTCATATACACAAAGCAACATCAAATGTAACCGCGAAATTCACACTCCTTTGAAATCATACACGTGCTTAAGAAACTACATGAGACCTAGATATAATACGAAACGTTTTAAAATGAGGTAATCAGAATTAAGATTAGAACCAATGACGAAATAGGTGGAGACAAATTGTTTGAAGCACCAACGTACAAATTCTCCTGGCATTCAAGTTATATTAATTCTAAGAAGTAGCAACAATTTTAAGTGGAAATCCTAATGAGGAAACAATTAATTTTTCTGTGATTAAATCTAGTATATCCAGTGTATAAATTTAATCCAAGTTAGTCTAATATTAACTTTACTGAGAATATTTTAATTGACCTACCCATTTCTCGATCTGTTTAAAATCATATTTTATTTACATGTTGAATTACCAAGTTCTACATACATTTGCATGTGATATTTCATAGTTAAACCAATCAGATGAAACATGTAGATATTATCATAGTGAATTACTTCAGTTATTACAACTTACATCACTTAGAGATTCCTCATCGGATGAATAAATTGCAGCAACATCTGAAATAATTAAATAAGAATACAAAACATATTACTTACTACGACAGAAAAAGGAAAACTCCTAAAAATTAAGAGCATGGAATACTAAACAGTCATCATGAGAAATATATCCTGTTTGTTGAGATGAGAACAAGGATGAACATTAAGCGAATGGAATATTCAATAGAATGAGATTACAGGAACAACAGTGATGTGTGTTTAGCTAACGTGATCTTAGTCATTAACAAACACTATTATATATATATATATATATATATATATATATATATATATATATATATATATATATATGAACTGTTAGGTACATTGCGCACCATTTTACAAGCACACTGAAATTTTTACTGTGTTCTCAGTAAAGTAAATCTCCGAATAGATGGGCTGACATATTATTACGAGGAATACTAACAAAGTAATCCTAAAATTTAATTTACCTTTGCGTGCAGCCAACAATGAGTTTTTCGCATTTCTTTTTAATGCATTTAAAGACGTTGTATTACCGTCATCATCATCTTCATCATCCTCTCCGTAACTTCGCCTACGTTCACTACCAAAACTACTTCTTGACATGGCCTGCTTTTCACGCATACGCCGTAACTGACTTTCGCGCCTTAATGTAGCGCGCAATTTCTCTTCCTCTTTCCTAACAAGCACATTACGATTTGATTCTGGATCCGCACCGGTAACAGGAAGAATTTTGACCTAAGTTGAAATAATAATAATAATATATAAAGTAAGAAACTTTTAAAGTACGATAAGTACCAGAAAAAAAGTGAAGTGTATGGTAGATAAGATATTAAACTCGAGAAAAAGAAATACTCCCAGTCTCGCCGTAAATTTTAAATTTTCGTCATAGCTTAAGATTGTGCTTCATCGATCACAGTTCAAACAGATAAGTGACCGAAACGACATTCAGGTAACAAGCGTATATCACAGATTCGTCTATACACTTTGGTGGTTTGTGAAGTTAAATCGATTTTAATCTGTTTTCAACCACCGATTGCTTCTCCAGAATGCCTTGAGGCCTTTGTTCTAAACTGGGTCACATATTAAGATATGTTTTGTTAAGTATGAGTACACATAATAATGTAAATGATTTACCCTATGAAAATTCATATTCACGGTTTCAAATCAAACTTCCATTGTCAGGGCTAGTGATACTACTCGGTTGTCCAAACCGAGGTATAATGGTTTTCGAACCCGGGGTTTCACTGGTTGAAAAGGCACATTTTGCATCAGGTTAAGTTACCACATAGCTTAACAACCTGCCAACTCAATAATCAACTTATTAAATTATATTCTGATAGTTAATATTTGAGGAATAAAAATACTCAGATGTTAAAACTGAAGTACGTAGAGTTTGCCATTGTTCATGTTTACGTTCTTTGTATTGATATATGAAAATCGTTGTGAAAAAATTTAGACAGTCTGGCGATTGCTAACAATAAAATCTGGATATCAAATCTTATTTTAATTAGAATTCTTGAGGACAGTGCAACCTGAATCCTGGTAGTAATATGTATTCTCATGAAAAATTAAATGGTCGTAAAAAATGCTCTATGAAGATAATGGCTAACCAATTTTATCCAGTACATTGATAATAGGATGCATCAAGTCATGGAGATTCAATACAATTCGTACATCAGTTGACCAGAGCAATTAATTGACCTGTAAGATAAGCCTCGGGTTTGAATCAATGGGTGTTGCATATAGGCTTTAGTGGGAACACGTACGCCCGAACACCGATTACCACGACACGCTATGCTGAATAGTATTGGGGATGGTTGGAAGAGAGTTAGGGGCGGACAAACTAAAACGTGGCATCAGTCCTTGAAGTCACTAACTTCTAGTCTGAGCCATGTTGGCAGATGCAGAATACTTGGGTGGGGTCCGCGTGACTATCGTACCCAGTGGTTGGAGACTCTGTGTGACATGGCTCAGAATCGATCACAATGGCACAGGTGTATACACTCTTTATCTTCCCTTAAACCTTGAGATTAAAATTGCTTCATAACGTTCTTTGTTCCTATACTATATCCTTATATACAACCTTTTTTATATATTACCACCACTAAATTAACTACATCTATGAATTTGGTGTTCATCTTGTGCTAACGAGGTATGGCAACTTGGACCGATCCATATATGTGCCTGAACCTACGTTGTAGCAGACTGATTGGGAACACGGGATGGAAATCCACACAATTGGCGAGGCCTAAATGTTACAAAACTTGGCCCTTGCGTGTCATTGCCATCCAACTTCGTATAACATCAAAAACAATTTCAACCAACAACATTGGATTATAAATTATGATTTTTAAACTTAAAACATGCAAGAAAAAATTAAAAGAGATCCATAATAAATGGTATATCCATATGAAACTTTAACAGATATCATGAACAGCTACTAGAAGTCAGGTAAATTAACTGAGATTCATAGATAGGCAATAGCTTTGTAAATTATAAGTGAACTAACCTTTTGTAGTTTATTTGTCTTATCTGCTAGTGATAATGTGATTTTACGATGCGTAAATGAATCTGTTGAATGTGGCCTATATGTTGTAAAAATATACATATATATATATATACATTGACAAGTTTATTTCAATCATAAAATAAAGTTAATAAATTAGGAAATTTTAGACATTATATAGGAATAATATATATTTGTAAAATCTCAGCGAATAAATTTGTAGTAAATCCAACGTTTCGCCTGACAATCTGGTCCAAGCTTTCTCAAGGAATTATAATCGAACATCAAAATTATCGAATATAAATAGGTACATGGTTCTTCGTTTCATTGTACACTGAATAGTGGATGAACTAAACATCAGATAATTGTTTCAATTTTTAGGGGGTCAACACATTAGTTGTTTTACCATAAAAATACTACATATTGGTATACTTTATTATTGTGAAAAGGAAGAAATTACTTCATGTGAACTCAACCAAGTTGTTTCTTAATATTACGGTTAGAAGGTTTAAGAACGAGCTACGAGTAATGAGGTAGACTATTGTTATAACGAATAACTTTTACAATTTTAGTGTCTGACAAGTGAGAGTATCAATGGGATCAAGTATCAAAAAAAGCTTATCCATATAAGTCAGAAGCTTTAGTGGATAGTATTAATGGTTACTTAACGACAGTGAAAGCTTTGCAATTAAACTATTCAGCTTAGAGAAAACGACAGTTTTAAAATGCGTCGGTTTGAGCAAAAGTTTTCCGTAATATATTAAAGTGTTGAATTCTTTTTCATTTATTTATTTATTTGAAAACATAAACATTGCTACAAATCAAATACAAATGCGCCACACAATAACAATGAGAATGTAAAGAGACATAAAACGGAAAGTGCGTATAAGAAAAAGGAGGACAGTAACGAACGAAAATTAGTGTATGATAGTGAAATAATAATGATGAAAGAGACAATTCAATTAGCAAAGGTACACCCAGAATGAATTCCTACAGTCGAAGAAGTCACGTCCATTTTTATGAAGGAAGTAAAAGAAAGTTACACCAGGATCGCCACTGGCTTCTATTCTGAGCCATATCTGATAACGTCTTAGGCCACTGTGTAGCACCATCTCTAGGATCTCAAACAGGAAGTCTTGAAGGACCAACAGAAACCGGTCCCGTACAGCTTTTTTCATGCCGCAGCACTATGTCCCATAATGACAACCTTTCCGCTTTCTCTAACTGGTCCCAGAGTCTGCAAATAATACACAATGTAGAATTCGCTGTGATGACATTCGTCGAACATGTCCAAGCCAACGAAGTAGGTGTTTTAAGATAGTGACACCAGTTGAATTATCATCGCTGTGCCCGAACACACGATGTCGAACCTCTGCATTACTAACATGGTGTTCCCACTGGATGTCAGCAATCCATTGGAGATGACGGTAATCAAGCATAGAGAGTCGTCAAACATCGTCTAACTCAGAGGTCTGGTTTTACAAGCAAAGAGCAAAACTGCTCTCATCAATGCATGACAGACCCGACCTTTTACAGCCAGACTAACGTTACGAAGGCGTCAAAGATGGCCCAGATTAACATAAGCCGCTCTGGCTTTCACCATACATGAGTCGATCTCACCACTCACGCTATCACCAGCACTAACGCAGCTACCCAGATACATGAGCGTCTCGACAACTTCTATCTGCTTACTACCCAGGGTGAATGCAGGATCAGAGTCCTGCCAGTCTTGTAAAAGTGTTTTTTACTTCTAAGGTGAAAAGCGCATACCATACCTACGGACACTAATTAAGTGCGGATCGCATGGCTCGGGTATCATCGCACAATAAAACAATATGATCCGCGTACTCAAGGTCTAGAAGTCTTTCTTCAGGCAACAGATCCACACCGCCATTGCCTACATCCATCAGAGCTGTTACCAGAACGTCGTCGATAGCAAAGTTGAAAAGGGATGGTGAGGTTCGGCAAGCCTGACAAACTTCGCTGCTTGAATGAAACAATGGAGAGAAGTGATTGTGTCCCCTCACTCTATCTGAAGTGTTTGTATATAGGGTTTTCAAGATGTTAATAAACTTCTCAGACACACTCTTCTTCAACAGACAATCCCAGATAACAGTCTTGTTCAACGAATCAAAGGCGGTCCTAATGTCAAGAAACACTACAATTACTGGCCTATAATAAGTATGGTAGTATTTTAATATTTGACTGAGAAAATATGATCAATACGTCCTCTACCCGAACGAAAGCAAGCCTTCTCCTCGTGGGTCAATCTTTCTCGGGTTTTGAACAATCTACAAATTATGACAAAAGCCAATAGTTTGGACGCAATCGGAAGTAGATTCATCCCCCGGTAGTTGTTGCAGAAACGATGTGAACTCTTTTTAATGATAGGGACAACTCTCGACTCATCCCACGATGTTGGGACATTCTATAACTGTCAGATCTTTGTAAATAACTTAGTCAGTTCCTTAACCAAAAGGTCCACACCATCTTTAAAAAAGCCGGAGTAAGGTCCTTTGGACCTGGTGATTTGTGGCGCCTCAAAAGTTACCGGAAGCAGATGCTGTTTCAACTCGTTAGCACGCACCAACCACCAGGCTTCTCGGTCCTTACGCAAGCTTTACATAACTTCACTACGTAACAATGTTCGTTTATGGTCAAACTCGCGGTCATCCGGAGTAGACCAACGGGCCCCAATGAGTTGTAAGGAGCCTGCAGAATCCCATTGTCTATAGGCGGGACTTTTCGCGAAGCCACAAGCGACTTTCCCCATTTTCATAGCGTCACGGAATAACTTTCAATGCTCATCCATACTTTTCGATGGGTTGATAGCTAGTCTTGAACCTAGCTCGGTTTGGTAGTTGGTTGCATCAGAAGCTGCAACCAATTTTCTGACATCGATCTATTTATTTATCTAAACACATGAACATTGGTACAAGGAGGCACCAAACAGATATGCGCCACATAAATAATAAACAATAAGTTCATATGCCATTTGTTCCCTCAAGATACTGGAGCCGATGTGCATCATTGGTTTGGAATCAGGGTTCTCCAACTCCTCTAGGTGGAATTTGCGTGTCCATCAACCCGGTTAAAGCGCCGGAAATTAGCTTTTCGTCCTCTCAATTTCGTAAACAACACCCCGGCCACTAGAAGGCAGTGAGCAGGACTTCCCTGACAGAAGCTATATACGCGTGGCCATGTGTGAGCATTTCGAGAGGAAGAGCGGGCTCTTCCCACTCTCAGCCATTCCAGGGCATTTGGGAGCAAGATTAGCGCAAACAAAGGAATGATCAGAGTCCAGATAGGTACTCCAAAAGGAGCGTCGGTTTTGTACATAACCACGCCAGCGCTAGGTGATCGCCATGTGATCAATCTGAATCACGAATTAAGTTGCAGAGGGAGGACGCCAGGTAGCGAATCCGTTACGACTGTATGTATAGTTAGTGCCATCCAGAAACAGGTTGTAGTTTACGCAAAGTTACCGTTATCTGACTTGAGGCCAACAAGTCACCATCATCCACCTAAACGCCTCTCTTCTGTGCCTAGACGCCCGACCTGTGCATTCAAGTCTCCGGGTAGTACTACAATACCTGTCAAACGCATTATTTAAAAGAACTGTTAACTGGTGGCAAAACCCATCCTTAATCGCATCCGGGCTGCAAACTGTCGAAGCATAGGCGATGACGAAAAGAAATCGTTTTTGATTATAATTTTTTCTCAGTTTCATGGAGATTTCTAATTTAACAGTACATAACCGACTATTGATGAGGACTTAGTGAATTAGTGCTGCCTCAGCTGTAGGATTTAATTTGTCCTACAGATATACTATTAGAACTGTAAACGCGATACTGACGATCCCAGAGTCTAAGTGAAAGCTATAGTCAGAACAAGGACAACTTGGCTTTAAACTTTATCTGTTTCTAAACATAAAAGCAATTAGATTAGTACAATAATTAAAGAACTACAGTCATTAAGTGAGACGCACAGACATACCGACCAGTATTGCATGTCTTATCGAAATGAATAAAATTTATGAGTCACATTAATATAATAGGATAATAATGTCTTTCAATTGGTAGCTCACATGCAACAGACAGACGCATGAGACCACATTGACGCGGTGAGAGCTTAAGCAACGATTTTATTGGTTAGTTATGGACATAACTAACATCAGCTCTAGAGCTGAGACACCAACGCCAGCAAAGGCAGACGAAGACATCACAGGGTCCCAGGATAAACTCACGTTTTCGGAGCGACAGATGGATAGCAAAATTGTAGTACGTCACTAGAGTCTTGAATACGAGCCTCGGATAAACAACAGACATCGATGTTAAAACTTTCTACGGACAAAACCAACCCTGTCTATTGTCCGACCTGCATTAGCGTGTTAACGTCGAAGAGAACCAGTTTGAATGGCACGCATGGTTTCAGAAGAGCTGGTTCGGAATTCGTAGCCGGTTGTAGCATTTAATCTCAAACAGTCAGTGATTTGAGATTTTTTAGATAAGACAGAGCAAATTCAACCTTCTTAATAAGGCAATGGAAATTTGCACTGACCGATGACAAACGCTTCATAAATTCTTAGGTCAAATTTTTAAAAGATTAAACCAATAAAAATCCTTCTTGCTGGTGTCCAAAAATACGATTAGTTTAAAATAAAAAAATGATGCATACTATTACAAACAAACCTGAATGTTAATTTAGTTTTCAAACTTGATTGTCCTTGTAAACCACTACCTTCTCGTATGAAGAGATAATTATAATCTGACTGAATATCTACTTTGTGTATGTCGAAAATTTCGTCCCCAAGATGTAGTGATAGAGAACCATCCGACCAACGAACAATACGAGCATTTGATTCGTGAATCATTTCACCATCAGGTGTTTTACCAATCCTCCAACGTATTGTATTTTCGACCTAAATTATTAAAAGATCTCTATTAAAACGCCCTCATGTAGTTGCAAACATAAATATGCTTGAGTGGAAATCCTATCAAATCCCAAATTTAGTAAAGTAATAGATTAATACGATTTGCTTCAGCATAAAAATAAACACATAAATGAGCTAATGTGACAGGGTTTTTGTTGTTGACTTACACTTTATATAAGGAGATAAAAACATAGTAACAAATTATACTCTGCTTATTCGAGAATGTTAGATGAAAACTTTAAGACTCAGCACTTTTTAGAGGGATTTATCAGTTTTTATTGTATCCCGAATGGAATTGTGAATGGTAACTTTTGAGGACTATTTGTGGACCAATGTAATATGTATATTTCCTATTGTATAATTGTTAAGTGACTAACCTAATCATATTCGTATTCCTCTTATCATTAGCCTTATTTTGACCTTTGAACTATTATTATACGATTCTTGAGTTATCATCAGTTTATTGATTACTATTCACAGCCCCATTTGGCTAAATATTGTACAAATGTTATTTTCTATTTTATGGTACTATGTGGTCTGTTTGGTTGGTATATAAACTCAGTATGTTTGTGAATAATGATTCATACCACAGAGGCTGTTATTGGTGTTTTGGATTTAACTGGCTGGGCTAGGCAGATCGCAGGACCGGTTAGCACTCTAGTCTGCTCGTACGGGTTTCGTGTCACTGTTCCAATCGATAATTCGCTGCCCCCTGATTGGCGGTCTCATCAAGTCACACATTAACTAGGCATCCACTCGGCTATAAGATATAACAATTTTAAAATTAGGCGTTGATTCAAAGTTAATTTAGCTCACTGAGATTTTGTGATATATATGACAACATCCCTATTTACTTAATACAACTAAGACCTAATTACTGAGTATATCATATTTTTGGTACTCCAAACTTAGGTTTTACATATCGCACATTATGAGCTATTCTACCTAGATGATATAAATCACACTGACCTTAGTACACCACTGTCTGAAAAAATAAATGATTGGTACTGTTAAATGAGTCAGATTTACATACTCGAAGTTGAGGAAGAAATTGGTCAAAATAATGATTTATAGAGATAAAAGAAATCATACTTTCAATTTCAGACGCGTCCGTCCTTCTTCATCTAAAATTTCATCTTCATCCAGTTCATCTTCGTAAAAGTTAGGGTCAAACGGACGAGTTTCAACCGACAAAAAATTAGGCATTTTTACCAAATGTACCTCCCTAATAGAAAATCAAATACAATTAGTTTTTATGTAAGCAAGATCTGCTCGTTGGATGAAGTTTTTACTTTTTATTCACCACGATCATTAAAAATAAAATCAGACGATATAAGGGGATTTAGAAAGTGTAAAAATTAATTATTTTTCACTTAACATTTTTCCGAAATATTTTTACAAGTGACTGGTCTTTCCCCTATTAAGAGCAAGAATTTTTTCGAGATAATAAATCCCTAAATCACGAATAAAATTACTAACTGCCAACTAACAACTCATATCTACGAGTAAGTTGCATTTATTCACCGAAATAGACGATGGCTTTAGGTCAAAGACTTCAGTTACAGCTAAACGTCAGAAAATATGCTTCCGTTATAGAGTTATTACTCCATCGATTCATTTACCGTCACGTCTGATACCTACCTGACATTCTATAATCTAGTGTTCTCAAGCTCCAGTTAAACATCGAGTGATTATAGAGGCCAAGATCTTAGAAGTTATTGCGTCTGAATTGATTTAACAAGAGAACTTCGGTCCGTTCTTATAAAATGGATCGATTCATCTATGACCAGACTTGAATCTAACTGGTTCTTTCGGGAAAAAGGCCGATGATGAACTGGAATAATTTGTGTGCTGTAAAAGACATCCAGAGAGCCTATATTTCCCTGTTATTTTATGTCTGGAATTCATAAATTACACAGACTCGACTTTAACTATTTTTGCGGAGACTAGTAATCCTACCTGAAAAGCCAAACCGAACTAAATGCAATGAAGTTTCAGTTTTTATGTCAACTACTTTTAATATCCGGTCACAACTTCTATTGAGTAAAAAAGTACCACTCACTGATAAACCAGAAGGAAAAACTACTTTACAAATGATGGTTTTACCAACCTGGTAATCTCACTATAAAACCTAAGAAATAGGTATTTAAGACCGACTACATGCAGCTCTTTCTAATTTTTCAACTTCAAGTGTCAAGTCACTAGTTGAACATAAGTATAACTCGAAAGTATCCGATAAAACCAAGGGATACCATGAGCGGAACCATGATAAGCTTAGAATTTATAGGAAGATGAAGAGTGAATGCAAATGGGTCACTGTGATTAATTTTGAAGCATGAAACACAAAGTCAGTCAGCCATAACGTAAGGCTTGAAGAAAAATGTCAATTAGTTGATACACCACACTAGTACAGAGATTAAATTAGCAAGATAAGCGGAAAAGGAGTAGTGGTTGTATTCACAATAATCACAAAAAGGACTAAACAAAATACGGTCTAAAATGTCTAAAAAGGATCTGAGGGACAAAGAGTACGAGATAATATTGAAGCTTAGGATCAAAGATGGATCTACACTACTGCAACTGATTTAGAGCCACGTTACTAGTTTCAAATTTTTATTGTGTGATTATAATTAACACAATTGAGTGAATCGTTAACATACCGTATGGACGACTGAAACATCTTTAAGACGGTTTTGGATTGAATAACATGTGTAAGTTTACTTTATATGGCTTCAAAAATTAGTAGCTTTGGATAATTAATGTATAGGTTTATTAAAAAATCTAGCTAAGTTCATTACAATTACAACCAGCTGACAAAAATAATTAATACCCATCACTATAAAACGGAAACTCCAAAAGCAACAATTCCGTTTATTCTTAGAAAGTACTCTACTACAGCTACATTATGTTTAATTAGTTTTTAATGCCAAAAAATCCATACCTGCCCAAATCTGCACGAATCAATGGAAAATCAACAGATATTCTTGTTTCGTCCGGTTCATGCGCCGAATCATCCTCTACATCCTCAGCGTTACTTATATGGCCTTCATTATCATTAGAATTGGCCATGTCATCTAATTGTGACCCATTATCTCCCGTTTCACTACCATCATCTTGCCGGGAACCATCATTATTAGGACTACTAGAAGAGGATCGGATACTCTGAAGCCTTTTTTTCAAAGAACTTTGGCTATGTGAGTTATCTGAATCGTTTTCTGTTTCCTGTTGCTTCGCAGCGTTGTCATTAAGTTGATTTTCGTGGTCTGATTCTTCGAAACTATCCTGTGACAATTAAAAATGTCAATTTTTAAAAATTCAGCTGTCTTATACAGGCTACGGAGATTTTTCAATAGAAAACAAATATTTTACCAGTCATAGACATGTTGATCTTGCCAAGTTGGTGTAGACAGAAAATATTCACGTATTTGGGTAGTTACGACGTGCGGTTCAGATGTTTATAAGACTGTCCAGAAATTCTATTCTAACGTATGAGGCTCAAACCAAGACAGACGTAAATGCTGGTTTTAGGCTGACTGCACTTAATCTCTTGCATATAACTAAAGTCAGTCAGTCAGTCACAACGTAGAACTTCGTACGTACGTACATCAGTTCGAGTTGCCATACCACATTAGCACAGAGATGAAGTCGATTCAAATCCCATAGTGGTAGAAGTAGTAAGAGTATAAGCATTATATGAAAGATTAGGGTTTGAAGATGTTATTCAAGGAGTATAATACGGTGAAATAAATTTGGAAAGAGAAAAAGGATAGGGACATGAGGAATCCAGAAGATTAGAAGTTGGGAGAACACAAAGAGTGGATGCACCTGCGCCATTGCAAACGATTTTGAGCCATGTCATTCAAGGTCTCTAACCATCGATTGCTATCATCTCGCGGATCCCAACCAGGTAGTCCACACCTATCAACATGGCTCAGTCCACTTGTCAGTGACTTCACGGATTTGTGCTACGTTTCGGTCTGGCCGCCCCTAGCTTTCTTCCAACCTGCTCCTACACCATGGAATATGGCACGTCGGGGCAGTCGGTGGTTGGGCATCCGTAACACGTGCCCCAGCCATCTCAACTGATGAAGTTTCACTACTTCATCAATCGATTTGCCATCCTTACCTAGTACCCGTTTCCTAACATCTGCATTACTTACCCGGTGGTCCCAGGATATACGAGCAATGCTTCTATGATCGAATACTAGCAGCTTACGGATATCCTCTACTCTTACGGGCCATGTTTCACTGCCACAAAGTAGGACGGAACCAACTGTTGTGTAGTAAACCCGTTCTTTGGTTGCTAGACGGATATCTCGCTACGCCATAAATGATGCAAGTTGCCAGAAGCTAGACGAGCCTTCTGTATCCGTGCTGGGATTTCGTCACACCAGACCACAAGGGCTGATGAGACTCCTAAGATAAATGAAGCGGTCAACAAAGACATTTTACAGCACTAATTTGACGTAATATTAAAATATAGCAATTTTAATATTAGAGGACATTAAATGTATGTTTAGAGGAATTAAAATGTCCTAAATGCGCCTTAAGATGTTGAAATTAGTGTGGATGACACTTAGATATGTTTTAGTCACATCTATAGTCTACAAAAGTAGTAAGGTTGTTTGTAGTTTGATTCATTTGTAATACAGTGTGAATAGTGAGGGGGTCTTAAAAATTGCACACCTTTCAAAATTAATTCCTGAAGGAGGTATGATTCTCAGGTGGACTAATGAAAGGGAACTTCCTCCTCCATAGTTTTATAACTTGAGTTTACCTGATTAATTTATATTACTACCATTCACACATCTTTCTTCATTTTTATTCTCAATCTATCCATATTGAACGATTTATTACGCAATCTTTGGATAAAGATTTGGTCTATTCTTCTTACCATATGTTATGTGTTTATCCTTATTATTCACCTCGTATTTTTAACTGATCTATAAAGCGGTCCCAATTAAGACTGAATGTTAATCATTTCCTCTGAGTGAAGAGATTGTAGTTTCATTATCCCTCTCGACCAATGTTAACCATATTTATTCTGGTCACTAATCTCACAACTTCATTTTTATTCGTTTCTGAATCTTCGCAGCTGATCAGAAACTGACCAATAATACTCCTCTATATCAGTGGGAAGATTGATACAATCGATACAAATGAATTAGACTTAACGTGATTGCAGCTGGAGTACAAATTTTTAATATTGAAGGACTTTAAATGAACGTTTAGAGTAATTAAAATGTCCTAAGTGTGTCTTAAGATGTTGAAATTAATATGAATGTTTTGCAGAAACAAAATAATGACCGCAAAAAGTTGACAGTGGTGTATCTTTCGACAGAGCTAAAACCTAGGCGTAGACCAACTGCTCTAAACTCCAGAACAAATGCCTAGTCAAAACTTTTGACGTCTGTCTAATTATAGATTCATTTCTATGAGAAAATTATGAGCTACAGACAGTGAACAAATTGATAACCGCATTATAAATCTCACCTGTTCAAACCTAGGCTGCCTATGTTTTGGTTGTGTTTCTTTATCACTATCTTTACAATCGAATGGAGATATATATTAAGACTATCTAACCAGTATCATCTCCGAAAACATTCCTTTGTGTTACACGACTTCGTTCCTCACCATCACTAGACGAGTTGAGGTCTGAAGATTCGTCCCTTTCTTCACCTGTTTGTTGTTTTATTCACTGAAATAAATACAGCCTACCAATTGGAGCACTGCCGTCAGATACATCTGAATCATAGTCTAACACCATATTTCTAACGTGACGCTCAGATTTGGAACAGCCGCCTTCCCTCACGGTAGTTTTACTATACATGGCAAGGTTATTTGAGAAGGACCAACCATACACCCGCTTATCTTTGAAATAAATATTCTTCGCTTCATTTCTACCTCGGAAAGGTTAGCTATGCATTGGAAGTTACATTTAAGTATAATAGATGACCAACAAATAAATCGTTATTTAATTACCATGTAGCGGTAAATAAATTCCCAAAATCAATAGCTCTGTAAGTGTTCGACATCGGATGCTGACTACATTAGTTTTAATGAACTCACCCAGCTGAAGACGCTCGGTCATGCATCCGCACCAGATCGCGGTTTGGAATGGCGTGCTCAACGACTCCGGTGATCACTAGCCAGATTAGATCGGTCACTCCTCGATATATTGATAATCCATCAAATATATTTTACAAACTCCTCGCTCTTGACTTTTAATTTCACTTGTTGGGCGCAATTCAATTATAGGTGTTACTGGTAAAGTGTTGTCAAACTACAATACCTGTGGTATCTTCAACTACAACAAAACTTTCAGGAAGATAAGCTCTGCATCTTAACGTCTGTTTTCCATTTTAGTAATTTAACAGACAGGCGAGGTTGGAGAATCTCCGTTTCAATATATGGTTTTTAATACAGATATGTAAAATGTACATAGTTGTATCTCACTTTGGGTTACGATATCTGATGGAGCGTGTACCAGTCAAAAGCATTCATCAACTCTCTTGGTTAGTTTGTATCCAGTCGTGTAGTGATTGAGTGCCCCATATGTAAATCATTCCAATATTTCTTTGTTAAGTAGCTTGTTTTCCCATCTATCTGTTGGTCTTATTCCACTAGTATATTGATGTATAAATACTTGAAATCATATGTTTACAATCTAGGTTACATCAGTCTAATTCAGTCTTGGATTTGTTTCACCACAATAAAAGTGACGGATGTTCTGTTACTGAAAAAAGCGTTTCCATAAACTGCATGTATTTCTTATGTACAGCCCATAAACCTTCGCCCCGTCCCTGACGAAACACTCATCAGCCTGAACGGATTCTACCTTGGACGACGGATCATTGACGGTTACACAGACTATCGAACGTTGTCAAGGTCAAGGATAACTAACATGGAACAACCCAATTTATATTTATGGACTATCTCATGCATCAGTGGCCACATTCTCTTTCACCAACCTTTTGTTAGTAACGAATTTCCTTCAAACGGTCAAACTTGCTCTGAATGGTTATCAAAATAACAGCAGTTTTCCAGTAACATGAAAGGACTAGTCACTGTAGATATCAATCAAAAAGTGTTACATCAACATAAGCTAGATCAAATTATCCCCGCCCAATTCAAGTAGGCCGCAATCATTCACATCCATCAACTGCATCAGTGTTCCATACTCACATATCAGAATGACAGTAACGTACGAGCCACGTTACTAATTAACGTAATGCTATGTATCATACTTAGGACATAGATAATGTTTACTTCGTATACATGTATTATCCGAGTACACAATATTTATTAGTTCTATTCTGAAAATAATATTTCAACCACGGATTCGCGTTCACTGTATTTTTTTGCGACTCAATAAATTGAGAAAATACTCGTACAAACGGAAAGCATGATAATACATCAAGCCCAATATTACGATTACGTGCCTAAAAATATGATTCAAGTAATCTTACTACCAATACATTTTCGAAAATTAGACGTAGAGATAATGACAAAGTCTGTTCTCAGGATTGGTTATTAATTACTAAAGAAATATGCCGTAAACGTGCCTTGTGTATACTTGATTCGTAAACAGTCTGTCGTTATTCTCATTCTGCTCAGCTTAATCAACTTGTGCAGTCGTTGTTACTGGCCACTAATCGCTACTTAAGTAGGCCTTGAATTTCCGTACACACAGTTTGGTTGCAGTTACGAGCCATAATTTTCATGTCACATGTAAACTCTGTATGTCGTATATTTCGACACTTATATTCAGATTAACCTAAGTATTTAATTCTCAAACAATAAGTGATTTTTGACGCCATGGATTCATAAGCTTTCTAAATTTAACATATTCGACCGCGCTAAACAACACGTACTAGGCTTGGTTTAAGGTTAGAAAAGACACACAGAATTGTATGTAAGGTTCCATATTGATAATTCAGCGAATAAAATGGGGGCCGTCAAAGGGGAGAGTGAAAAAGGGACCACATTGGTGAGAATGTGTATTAATAAGGGCGGCCACCACAAAGGCGCATATTGATAAAGGTTAGGATTAGAAAGAGAATCATACCTATTTTTCATGGCGCGAAACATTTTCGATTTACCCGCTGTTGTGGAAGACTTACCCAAAACGAGCAATATGAGCTAGGGCTGTCGTGGAGGCTTTAGCCATCTTGTTGGTGCCCCTCACTAAGTATAAAGAAATTTATCGAACTGTTCTGCCTTGATGGTAAATGGCTCTTTTAGCCTGAGGAGTTATCAACGTGAGAAACTGAGGTTCGAAATTTCAATATCAGAAATACTATTGTCTTGGTTGGCATTTCTTAGATTTGTCTTTGCTACGGGAATAATAGACCTAACACTGAAATTTTCTTTAATGTGACTACCTAATCCATAAAATCTTCCGTGGAAGTTATATCACTGTCTACGCTGACTCGTCCTATCGCTGAGCCATCAAAATGCTGTTTAACGCCTATTAAGAGCACAGTTGGGTTGGGCATGGGAAATTATGCTTGATATGTAAGGGAATCAATCACAGAGTGACCGAGTCATACACTACCGATTAAGTGTTCCCACGTTCACGTTGCCTAAGTGTTAAGTTTTGAATGTCAATTTTCTCAGTTATCATATATTTGGCCTCAAGGATTGTTTGGTTAAGAACCAATACCACTACACGTCTATGTCGCTCACTTACTGACTTACGTACGTCCATCACCTCCTTTGTCTTTCAAAAAGATCGAAATAAGGTTGCGCAACGATCGGGGCGTAAAGAGAAGTAATGATATAAAATCAAATGTGTAAAAATTTGATAATTCATTTAAGGAGTATGTAGATGAAGAACAAATTTAAAACTTGGAGGTGGTAATAGCATGTGACTGAAAACTAATGGTTTTAAGGTAAAGTAAGCGATAATAACTGTTCATCTCATGAATATTAAGCAAAACCCAATTATTCGGCTCTGATTATAACGGAGGTTAGGGATTGATAGAATATAGTCCTTTAAGTCTCACTGAAGAGCAAAAAACAGGGTGTTCAGAATTAAATGTAATGAAGAATGTCGAGCGTGAGTGATCAATCTGAAGGGCAGTTTTAGACATTTAGAACTTGTACAAAGGAAAACTCGTGAAACACTTCTCAGTCACCTACAGGTAGACTGTCTTCTTGCTGTTCGAAACAGATTCACGAGATGACGCGACTGGTGTAATGAAAATAAAGATTTCTCTTCAAACCCGTAACACACACTGAGGTTTATAATAGCTCCTTCAGTCAAAATGCTCTCACCCACTTTAACGTGGTGGGCCACTTGTTCAGTATATGTCTGGTCAGTGCTTGGTGTTAATTTTATTAATATTAAATATATTGTACTATCTCCAGCCTAAATAAGTTCTCCATTATATATCGATGATTATTATGATACGACTAGTCAATATAGACAATTATTTGACTTCCACATAAGATCTTTTAGATTAAGTAGTCGCATCATGACAAATCTATAATCTTAGGATTACGTCTATTATTAGAGCCGTACTAATAACGAAGTAGACCGTAATTACATAGATCTATAATGAAAAGACAGATTCAGTCCTGTTTGCATCCCTTTATCAGCCATCGATTATTACGATATATGAAGAATAGACTTCCAGTAATATTTTTGATCTGATTAAATTTCTTGATAATTACTTCTCATATTGAAGTGATAGGTTGAAATGACGAGGCAGAGGATAACTTACTTATGTACACTGCAGCTTAGATTCCTTTTTCTGTGATGTCAAAATTACACATACTTCAGTATTCAGTGCGGATTGTTCTAAAGCCATTAAGTCAAGTTTCTTCACTGCCTAGTTGTGTTTACCGTCAACCTACTGCATCAACTGGTAAAACAACCATATTTTCAGGGGCATTCAAAGTAGCCTCATCCCTACCATTCACAAGCAGGCTTACATGTGGGGATTTCAACATACCTGAAGTTTCTTGGTTGCGTGTCAAGGCATCAAAACGTCTTGAATCACTTACTGAGTGTTTAAAACTTGAACGGTTGACACAATATGTCGACAACCATACTGGACATAAAAATAACTTGGATTTGGTCTTTACCAGTGACCTCACCCCTAATGCCATGTATTTTAGATAAAGGCTTCCAGGTAGCGACCACGAAATTACCATCTGCAGCTTTGACAAGAAAACTGTAATCAGTAAACGCGAAACCGTCACACATCGTTGAGGCCATAGTAAAGTTGATAGGAAAAACTTCCAAAATCCCTCAGGAGGCATTGATTGGGGAACCTTCTCCACTGTAAGCAAAACCGACACAACAACTAGTATATTCTCTCATGACAACAGTAATATCTTTGATAACATCGCACCTTCAGAATACTGGAGTCCTAAGTTTTCACCACTTGTATTAGTAAGAAAACATTTATCAAATGAATAAGAGATCAGTTATGATTGTAATAATATGAAAGGAGAAAAGTAACTGTGTTTTCTATTCTGTATATATGCATATATGTTTACAAGCGGATGTGTTGAACGAAAAAAAGAACAAAAACAGTAGAAATCTAGTAAGTAAATGAAGAAGTGAGCAGAAAAAAAAATCAATCAGTTCGCTCAAAATGAATGACGATAAAAACAAGAAGTTACATTATTGATTTGTGAGATTTACTTTATTCTTTTCTTCGTTTTTTTTTACTTATAAAAACAAATTTTTTGAATCATAAAATATTTATTAATAATATAATAAACAAAATTCATACAACAAATGTAAATATATACATGAGTAAAGCAGAGATAGCACCAGCAGCAGGTAAGGTTACTAACCATGCAATTAGAATATTACGAAATACACCCCAATTAACATTGTCTTTAGAACGTGCACGTCCAACAAATACAACTGAACCAACTTTACAATGTGTAGTTGATATTGGTAGACCAATTTTACTAGCAATTAATACAGTTAGGGCTGAACCAATCTCAATACAAACACCACTAATAAAAAAATAAAACAATAATGTTAATAATATAAAAACTATCCAGTGAAAATGTATGGTAAAGAATTGGTGAGTTTCGTTGAACTTGCAGTTTCTTACATTTACGTTCAATCTACATATAGTGCGTATATAGACGAAACCAATTCAACTATTTCTACAAACCCTGTACCAGTAATAGTTGTGTTCAATAGCGACAAACTTCCAGATGTTATTCTATAAGTCCCAATGAGAAGTTGTGACCAGTAAGTTGTGACACAGTTACCCATCACCAGTAATGGAAGGTGGTTGCATAATATCGCGAACTGATTGAAATTGAGGTAAACCATTAGATGCAAGCTCAGTGGTCTAAAGGATAATGTTCATCTCAAGAAATGAAGTTCTTAACGTAGGTCCTCGGTGGGGTCAAGGATACTTAATAACGAGTAGTTACATATTGAGATGAAGCTACGGTCCGGCGCTTCCTAAGTTTCAATGGTTGCCAAAGTAAAATCAACCTGTGATGTCAGCTATGGACACTTAACAATCCCCATAAATTCCTTCAGCAAAAATAAAGAACAGACGAAGTGGGACACAACTGTTTCCACATCTTAACCGTTGAATATTAACTAAGTAACTGATTTAAAAAAATAATAAGTTATTGAGTATTGAATACTACAAAACTAAAAGATACTAAACACTCGTTATAATTTCACTTTATTTGCATCCCATCAGATGACTTTCATAATGGACTTAGTAACACAAAGTACACTTTAAACAACGTGACACTAAAAAACATATTTAATGCGCACTGTCAGAATTAGCTAAGATGTCGATTAATGAACAATAGTGCTTGTTTGGTAAGGATTTACAACGACTACATCCCACCACTCAAGTGATTCAATATTCTTCCTTGAATTCTTTTTCTAGACTTACTATTGTCCCATCAGAGAATGACTTTTCTCAGTTAAAAATAAAGTGTTTGTTGTGAAAAATGATTTCATAGATCAAGTAAATAAAAACGTTCGAATGAATATGAAATATAAATTACAATCACAACTATTCAGATTGATAGAAAAATGGTATTGAACACAATGAATATCTACAATAAACATATTTTGCGCAAAAAAATCAATAACCTACCTAGAGGGTGATATTTTTGTCAGATCTTCACCCAGTGTTTGAATAACTCGTCTACCCCATATCCAAAGACCAACCGATATACCAACACCACCATAAACCAAAATCCAAATATCTGTAGTTTTCGATGAATCAACTGATTGTGTGGTGGCGATAAGCCATAAACCGATCAACGGTCCGATAGCATTACTGTATAAAAAATAATTCATAAAAAACTAACACACTAAGTGAATTGTTTAAAGATGAACTTCATGTATTATAATGGGTTAGCAGTGAAACAAGTTTACGATTATTATTGTTTTGAATGAGAAGTCTGAAAATAGTTACGATCTTTCCTGATGAAAACCTTCTATGATTCGAATGTTCACCACTGAATCCTTAAATTATTCAAACTACAAGTTTCAGCTTAAAAATTAACCTGATGGATGACAGTACATAAAAATTATGTTAGTTTAGCCTAAAGTGCATTCATACTTTGATATACCAGCATATCCACAAAAGATCCGTGATCCGAATAGAACGTACAAGTATCTCATTTTATTTAAAAAAGCTTTACACCCTTAAGTATTACACATTTCAGTGCTACGCTACGAAACATAGTTTTCATTGAATATGCTATTTATGGGGACATTATTTCACGTAGTTCAAAGTTTGTCAAGTACTAAGATTTGGTTTTGTCCCTAGCTTACTCTAGAAATCATAACCTTTCGTTTGATGTATGATTCACTGATATGCACTTTTTACACTAATCTACATTAGGAAGTTGGAATGGGAAATACATAGAGTAATATTCCTGGTGGAGTTTTGTTCTCCGAGCTGGATGGTTCGGTCGTGGAGCTTTCATCGTCCTTCTGAACGACACCATCAGCACAAACTTCAGGTAAAAGTGAAGTGTTCGAATTTCTTCATATATGACTCACAGCTTGTCCTCTAGACCAAGATCTTGATTGGTTATTGTTGACCTGAGGTGAGTATCCTTTCCAGCTTCCTCTTTTGGTCACCCATGGCGTGTAGGTATTTGTGGACTCTGTAATGTGCATCAATCAACATTAGGTGTATCATTTTTCTCCCTCTTTACTCAGCTATTCTCCATCCCATTCGGCAATTAATTGGAGGTCTGTATATTACACTCGTTGGGAGAACATGCCGACGAAGACACTCGTGGAGAAAATAAGGTTTATCTCGACTGGAAGCCTGTCATTTGGTGAAATTCTCCTATTCCAGTTGACTCGTTTTCTCAGGTGATAGAATGGTTTTCGTCTCGACGCTCAAGGCTATTAGTCTTCATTTGAACTCATACATTTCTAGCCTCAAGATAAAACCAGTTAGCCTATCATGTCAACGTCTCAACCTAGATCGAGGCACGTTTTCTCCTAAATATTATCGGGTAGACAGATCAAGAATGTAACATCAACAATGCTGAAATTACACTATTTTTTTTAAATAACAAAAACATAGACTATTATCAGATACCTAAATAACCTCTTCGATTTTTTGTTAAGAGTATAAACCAGTGTCAAACGGAGGATATAAAGTTATAATAATCCTCTTTCCATGTCAAAAATTGCAAACGACCGCTGTTTAATAATAATAGTAATAATAATAATGATGGATATCAGAATGATCATCATCGCAGATATTTCCCACTATCTTTTCCTAAAAATTTAAACTAATCGAATTAGCAACATGACTGTAGTTTACAAATCATGAATATTTTTTTAGTTATTAAAGAGACACTTTACTGTATTGTATCCATTTCAATAAAAAGTTAACGAGAACTATTGTGAAAACAGAATTTCTAACAGAAAGCTATTCTAAGAGCTTTAAAATCCATCATGAATATTTTTAAAAGTAAGTGTTGGTGACGTCCAGAAGTATTTTTTATGGGTTCAATAAATTAGTTACTAACGCATAACTTTGTAATGACAGATAGCTACAAGTGATGTAAGTATGAACAAGCAGGACATGTTCAATCACTTCAATTACTCTTTTCCAGTACTGTTTTTGATAATCCTTTACAGTAGAAATAAATAGTGTTAACAGTGAATAAATGGAGGAGAGTATATTGTCTTTGTGAAAAATCAAGATTTCTAAACTGGTCTCATGATAGATAGAAGTTCTAAACGATCTTTTAAAAATGCACCAACTGATTTTATTTCATAAAAAAAGTACCAAGTGTAAGTATAAAATGAAGAGACTGCAAGGTGTTACACCATTTCTTGAAACTCTATTCGGTTTATGAATGCTGATAATCCGTTATGGAGATTCAACTCAGATTTTATACCAATTATAACTAATCTTGAGCTTTTATTACTGAATATACTTCAATAGTAGTAATATAAGTAGATTTCTCTTACATACACAGTTTATTTATTGATCAAAATATATTAAATATCCATACCTTACATCATTACCACCATGAGCAAATGATCCGAAAACAGCTGTTAAAATTTGTAAAGAGGAGAAAACCTGAGCTTCAGCAGGACGATCTTTAACAGAGTCCATAGGATCTGGTTCCTACATTCAGAAGAATGAGTAAAAATGAAGTGAAGATTATATGTAGCAAAAATATTAACAATGTATTTCATGTGTTAAACGTCAAAATACACGTGCCTGAAAATAGTTTAATCATTCAGTTGAAACAAACGATATCATGCAAAATACTTATATGTAGAATAGTTCAGACCAGTTCTTTCGAGCATTGTTTTATTTACTACAACATTAAGTTGCCTTAAAAGGCAACTCTTCAATTGCTCTGTAAATGCAAGGTATCTAGGGTAATATCCACATTCTATTCATTGTTAGCTTGGAAAACAAACGATTCAGAAGTTCAACCGAAATAATTCATCCACTACTTAAGGTTAGAAATTTCTACACTTTCGTTCATCCCAAATACCGAAAAATTCCCATCATATTAAAACATAAATAAACAAGTAACATCCAAATTAATAATCACAAAGGTGGTGAGATTTGAGACAAAATACATCGTTTAAAAATTATAGCGTGTGAATTTAGATTTATTTGCAATAGGAAATAAGTGGTATTTAAACAACGAGGAAGATATATGGTGAAAAAAGTCTAATAACCACAAGTTACCTTGTAGCATCAGGTATCTTCCACTGTATGATGTAGTGACCCACGTAAACTTGAATCATAAACAGAATTAAAATTGCAGCCGCATCATGGACTAATATGTTCGACTTCTATAAACTGTTAGGTGACCTTGAACTGACCTGAGCATATTCAAATTTAACGTTACTGATCATAGTGTATTCATTTGTAGTTTTTATATGTGAACACTTGCTAATTATTTACGGTTAACTCCAAACATTTTTATGTGTTTGTTGTCTCTGTTTTAATTGGTTATCTGTAATTCATGTATTATTCATTCATTAGTCACTGAACAAACTTTTTCAGCCTCTCCTGTCTGAAATGTCCTAAAACCAATCTCGGATTTGAAATTTTATGACTATGTGGTATTGAAGCGGTTAGTCGACAGAGTATATATGAAGTCAAGTAACACATACACGTCACCAGGATCAGCATCATTCAATCATAATAGAGTCATTTTCGGGCACTAGAATACAACCTTGTAAGGATCTGTGCAATGATCGAAACCATTGACAGGATAAACCATTTAGTTTTATTGATTTAATGTATAAACTTGGTAGGATGTTTATTTGTGCTAGTCTTCACGTCTGTTATAACTTATTTGTTAATATACAGTAACCATTCAAGACTATCTAGTGATTTAACTAAGGTATATATATCCCAAAATATACAGTGACAAAGGGAGATAAATACTTAATCAGGATACTCACTTCACCAATTGTAGATAGGTTAGGAGGAAATGATACATTCATTTTACCATTATTTAAATTATTACTACCATCCGTGATGGCATTTTGATCATTTGATGAATAATCCAAAACCCAATTTAACTGATTTTTTTTATGACCTGATTCATCTGGATTACTTGGTTTCACTTCAAAATCTATGGAAAAAATGAAAAAAAAAGAAAAAAAAAGGGAGCACATATGAAAACCTCATACAAACAAGAATAAACTTCGACTGAAAATGATGCGGCATGAAAATCTTGAGATTTAGATTTTGATCAGAATGGGGTCTTTGTGGAGATTGTATTAATTTTAATAGTTGACTTCATGAGTCAATCTAAACTACACCTTCATTGAAAGCCTGAAAGCACTAGATCGCCATTTATTCCTAGTATAGGACTCATTAACAGTGCGCATCCATGATCCCGCACACAGAACTCCAACCCAGAACCTTCGGTCTCGCAAACGAACACTTAACCTCTAGACTACTGAGCCAGTATCCAACGGTGTTAATGTCTAACTTCTATCGATCCATGAAAATTCACAGTAACATAGAGAATTTAAAAATGATAATAACAATAATAATAACCGGTATCATTCACAAGAAATAGTGTGAGAAAAGGATTTTGTCAAAAATATATGCAATAAAGTTGACGTATTCATAATCTGTTATGCTCAAGAGCAAGCGTTCAAATTAGGTCTACATTGTTGTAGAAATATTACTTCTGTTTCAGTATACGGTTTTTATACCATCGAACAGATGTTTCTTACCGATGAATAAAACTATGTGTAACTATTTTCTTCTTAAATAACAACTGACGTTGAAACTTTAAACCGGTTTCGTAACAGTTAGGGAAGCAGTATGCAGTGTGAATATTTGGTTTCTTTTCTTTTAGTAACGTTGTAACACTTTTACTTCAATGTTTGAACTTTACAGAACTTGATTTCATTTAGGTTAAGTAATCACCTTTTCTTGAATTTAAGTATTTACACGTTTGAGAAATGTAGTTTACACCTACAATGAAAATGTCATTGCTTTTTAAATAAATTTATTCTACAGAATAATACGTCATTTTCTTCCATACTGTAAATGTGACAAAGTACGTTGCAGTTTATATATATCAGATATGGCCTAATTAACGAACCATCAACATCCGTAAACAATTTTTATGGGAAGGTATTTTATTTATTTAATCAAATATAAACATTGGCACACGGAGGTGATAAATATATATACATCACACTTCGTCATTTGATTTGTGTGAGGGCTAGACGGTGGTGATTTTCTCAAAGAGCTACACCCCTAGCCTTTAACCTAGAGATCTAATCCACAATGCAGTGAAGCAACGTTAGGAGATGCAGTCCCATGGTAGCCTGTGACCAACAATTGTTTCATATGCCATTTGTTCCCTTAGGATCGTATAGCCCACGTGCACTATCGGTTTGGATTGAGAATTTTCAAACTCGCCTAGGTGGGTCCTCCATACCCACCAACCCGGCTAAAGCGACGAGCATTCGCCTTTTGTCCTCCTAATTTTGTAAACAACCCCTCACCTTGAGAAGGCAGTGAGTAGGAATTCCCTGGCCGTGTGAAAGCACTTCGAAGCGAAGAGCTGACTCTCTACATCCAGAGGCCGTATTAGGACATTTGAGGGATAAATCACAGCAATAAAACTGCAACAGATTATTGTTTATTTCGTCGAATGGTAGTGTAATAAACTAAAGAAATCAACACATTCCTTTTACTCATTTTCAATTATCAAGTCGACGTTACTTATTCTGAATGGATTGTTTGGGCATCCATTTCAAAATTATGCTGTCTATTGATCCCGATCATTTTTCGACCATTTAAAAGCTAAGTTAGTCTATACACTGAAAAAAAACTAAATTATATTTATGTAGAATGTTGAATGTATTAAACCTATTATGCAACTAGTTTTAACTTGGTTGACAGCATCGACAAAAGCAGTTCATGCCTTAAGATCAATTTTTAGTTTGAGATTAAAAACCAGATCACAATGTCAGAAAATTAGAAATAGTACTGACAAAAATAGCTAAATAATAATGTTTCGGCTGCAGACGTGGTCAGTCAGTCACAACGTAGAACTTCGTACGTACGTACATCAGTTCGAGTTGCCATACCACATTAGCACAGAGATGAAGTCGATTCAAATCCCATAGTGGTAGAAGTAGTAAGAGTATAAGCATTATATGAAAGATTAGGGTTTGAAGATGTTATTCAAGGAGTATAATACGGTGAAATAAATTTGGAAAGAGAAAAAGGATAGGGACATGAGGAATCCAGAAGATTAGAAGTTGGGAGAACACAAAGAGTGGATGCGCCTGCGCCATTGCAAACGATTTTGAGCCATGTCATTCAAGGTCTCTAACCATCGATTGCTATCATCTCGCGGATCCCAACCAGGTAGTCCACACCTATCAACATGGCTCAGTCCACTTGTCAGTGACTTCACGGATTTGTGCTACGTTTCGGTCTGGCCGCCCCTAGCTTTCTTCCAACCTGCTCCTACACCATGGAATATGGCACGTCGGGGCAGTCGGTGGTTGGGCATCCGTAACACGTGCCCCAGCCATCTCAACTGATGAAGTTTCACTACTTCATCAATCGATTTGCCATCCTTACCTAGTACCCGTTTCCTAACATCTGCATTACTTACCCGGTGGTCCCAGGATATACGAGCAATGCTTCTATGATCGAATACTAGCAGCTTACGGATATCCTCTACTCTTACGGGCCATGTTTCACTGCCACAAAGTAGGACGGAACCAACTGTTGTGTAGTAAACCCGTTCTTTGGTTGCTAGACGGATATCTCGCTACGCCATAAATGATGCAAGTTGCCAGAAGCTAGACGAGCCTTCTGTATCCGTGCTAAGATTTCGTCACACACCAGACCACAAGGGCTGATGAGACTCCCAAGATAAGTGAGGCGGTCATGATTATACTCATTCACTGTTTTTCGAGTACAAGAGATTTCGATTATTACCTTTCAAATATACTGTAAAGTAACGTGAAAATATACCTAAATTCATTTACCATCTATTTAGTTAAATTATATCGAAATTATGCTTTCTGAATCATAAAAATAAACATCTTTTCATTTGTGACAAACTCTCAAGTTTCCAAAAAGATCTACACAATCAACTTGTATTATATAGATATTTATTGTCTGATGAGATGTAAATAACTAATAAATTATGGTGAAATTATGTCTTATTATTTAAAACACTTTGATATGTAATATTATGATTAATACATATTCGAATTGATAAAACAGGATTATGGTAGAGGACTGAAGTTACCAGTTTATAGAGCAAATATCAGTATAACACAGTGCTAGTACATTCATTTGTAAAGTGGCATTTCTAATATTTATTTTCAGATTTACAAACGTTTTGACTGAGATCTGAAGTAGTTGTTCAATACTTTGATGTTTGTATTTTTTTAAAAATGGGTGAGGTAGTTATTAAAATCTATTATCGTCATTCATAGGTAAACGATATGTTACGGTTAAGGACCGATCCATATTCAGTCTTAAAAAGCAATTCGTGGTCACGGACAGTGTGTATCCTACAATAATATGAAGGAGTTAACCAAGTTTATCTTCGGTGTTTAAGTAACTAATTAACAAAGGTAGATTATAAATGTGAAAATATGACCTTAAATTGACTTTTATACTGTTTACGCCCGATAAACACATTATCTTCAAATTGAATGATTTTCATACTTTTTCAGTTTACGTACATCTCTCAATAAAAATTGCTAAGTAATTTTATAAGTCTTCTAATTGAACGTTATATTCGGTTCCTAAGCTCATCTAGTAACCTCCAGGCTAAAATCTACACAGCGACTTGAACACGAAAGGGCGCAAAATATGGAAGAAAACGTTTTACTTCAAAGGTTCATTTATGTACAGAAAATCTAGGGTTTTTATAGTATTTTAGATGGCCTTGGGTTTCTGGAAGATTTTGAAACACGACTAAACATAGTAGCAGTATAAGTAATCATTCAATCGGAAACTCAACATTTCTAGATGTTTCTGGCAAAACTTCTATTAAATGCCGATTGGATAAGATGCTTTTCAACGGCTTTTTGAGCCTTTATTGGCTGTTTTAGAGTTTTCTGGATCTCCCCAACATTATTACTAAAATTGAAAGAGATCTCTACAGTTTTCTGTTTTGGAACTAATAATGTAAATGCATTTCCTACAAACCGAGTTAAGGATGACTGGATTCAGTAGCTGAAAATAAATTATTAATAGATTAAAGCATTCTACATATCTAACTCATAAACAGTATCATCGTAGCTTCGAAAACTAAACAGCTTTAAGTTGACAAGTGATAGCACGTCAAACTACTTATGTTCTGATGTGTTGAACTACAACAAAATAGTTAGTTATAAACAACGTAAAACCTGACACATATGTGGATTGTCTTAAGTTGATAGGCCACATTAGAACAACAAGATAGAATTATCAAGACAAATCGTAGAGCATTAGAAGTAGTAACAGTATTAACAGTAGTAGTAGTAACAGAAAAGGTTAGGTGTAAAATCGAAAAGGTATAAAGAGATTTTGAGATTCAAAAACAAGGGGAAAATAAACAGTGAACGTGTAGTAACCCCATTGACCTATTTTACGATTTGTCTACTCGCTGTGATCTAGACATTTAATCCACTATGTAAAATTATGTGAGTCCGATTGAGCGCATGTCTAAATACCAATCTTTATCTATTATCTCATTGGTTGTAAAAACAGACAAGCACAATTGATTAACACTAATAAATGTTTATGGATCTTTAACACTCACACATATACTCTCTCATTTCCCTATGTGCTTGCTTTCTGCACGCTTGTGGATTTTACTAATCTTTAACTATACACTATCTCTATAACTGGTATTTGGGCTTTTGAATAACCTCGAGTAAATTCATAATATTACAAGGAGATTTAGCCTACGTTAAATACTCAGATAACGGGATACTATTTATTGGAGTCAGATATAGAGAAATTAACCCCTACAAATGCACCTGCGCGATTGCAGACAGTTCCGGATAATGTCAGCCAATCTCCAAACCATTCTAAAGATAGTTGAATAGTCTGAAATACACAAAAATCAAGTGCATTATCCGTTATATTTACCGTCATTTGAAACATTATATATGGATATTTCGGCGAGACTAAAGAACATGGACGACCTTTGAACGAATCTTAAATGACCTTGAGAAATATGAGCCAATCAGAAGACAGTTATCATACAGTAAAAATATATTATATAAAACTAAAAAATTAAAGGAGATACTGTTCTTTTACATGAATCAAGAACTTATCAAGGTCAGATATAGGTTCAGAAGTTCTAAAATCATAGTGCATCCGGCACAGGAACTCATCTATGTGGCTCCATAGTAGTCGACCTCTGGAACCATGATAAAGTCCCGAAAATTCTTTCAGCCTCGACCACATAGTTTCAGTGTTGTCGGTATGTTGGTATGGTTTAGGGTCTAAGATTGGGGTTAAGGTTTAGGGTTACGGTTCAGGGTTAAAGATGAGACCATGAATTATGGACGACATTTGAGCGACGCTAGAGTGAATCTGAGAGTGTCAACGTAATAACTAAGACTAAATGAGGGTTATAAACCCGTGTGAAGAATTCAAATTATGATTTACAGTTCATGGTTAAGGTTAGGAATTATACATAGGGTTTTCATAACGAACTGACATCAGCTATAATGCCACAACTCTATCCAAATGTATAATTGAATTTTGCGTCAAAATCTTATGATGACTTATCTTGTAGACGCTTAATTGTCATGTTTTCTCTAAAATCCGTTATAAACCGACCGTACGTAAGCGTCAGGTACCGAACTTAGCGCCGTGACCTTGAAAACCCGCGAAAGCTTCTGATTGGCTCGTCCATGTTCTTTAGTCTCGCCGATATTTCACACTTATCATAATATAATATTTATATGTTAGAATTAACTGTATTGAAGACTTTTCTGATATAAAGTCTGTACACTTATTTTATGTTTTAAGATTAATACAAATGTTTATAGGTTGTAAGAACCTGAGAGGAATCGACAAAATGCATGAATTTATGTAGTTCCACCATGATTTTTGTACGTTTTTTATTAAAAGCTATAAATGGGAAAATCATGTGAAACAATGTAGTAAATCTCACGCTTGTAGTAAAATTGTGAATTGAAGTTGAGAGCTTGCGATATACACCTAATAAAAAGGAATGATGATATTTAGTAAACATTCCAATATAGATATGTAAGTCTGTGAGTGATTATGGTCATGAAGCCCCATACTACGATGAAACAACTGTCCAGTGCATCCTGGTTACCAATGGTATACTGATTGAGGTCAGTCTGTGACGAATGCCACCTTTAAATTAAATCAAACACCATGGAGCCCGCTCAGTAGTACTTTCGTTTCCCCTGATATTACAATTATGATCATGTGGGCGATCTTTACGAAGTTACTTATTGTCCTATCCACTTCAAATCATACTTTAACAAATATTGAATGATTTCACTAACCCAAATTATTAAAATTTATGTAAATACTTTTAGATTTCTTTCAACTGTTACAAATTCCATCTGAGCAAGGTTCTTTCGTCGTATTTTTCTATAATAGCACTCAGGCGGGATTTCCAACAAGTATCAATAGAAAACATCAATAATAACATTCCATTTTAGTCCTTTGTTTATGTGATATTATTAACGTTATATCTTAACACAATCGTAAATCAACAGAATCCATGAAATACAATATTTATATATTTCTGTCTTAATTAACAGTCTGCTTTTATCCAAATTCATAAGGAAAAACAAGATAAATTACCGTTATCGATAGTAAACATTTTAACTTATCAAATTGTGCTTTACAAAGTATATATAACTAGACATCTGCATCTAATCTCCATGATATTTTAAACATGAAAAAATTAAGAATCTTGTGTTAACGCAACCTCGGGGATAACGCAATTGAGACTTCATTTCACAAAACAAAACTTACGACTTGAAACTTTATTCTGATTTTCTAATCCCTGTATTACACCATTATTTTCACTTGTAAATCGTTCAAGTTTGTCTTTGTTATCCGTATTTCCTCTAGCAACATTATTTTGAAATCCAACCACAGCCTCTCCATCTGTATGAGGTACATACGTATCCATGTCAATTGTTTCATGATTACTGCTTGAACGTTTGGAAGATTTATTATCCTCAATAGATTGATACTTATCGTCTACAGCGACAGATAATTTCTTTTTGCTCTTACGAGTAAAATAACCTTTCAAAATATGTCTACTCGATTCTCCAGCTATAAAAATGTATGAAGATGGAATTAGCCGAATGTTTTAGTCAATGTAAAAATTACATGAAATCTGTAAATAGTTGTAAGCGAATCTATAGCATCAATGAAGCACAACTACATCTTACTCCATTTATTACAGATTAAAGAAAAATCGAAACAGGTTTATTACCTGGAATTAGTCAGGTTTCATTTTTTAAAAACTAAAACAAAGTGAATCGAGTTAGTTTTTGCATACAGTTCTGTAAGAATTTAAAGTCATAAAACTGTAAACGACACATGAAGTCATAAAGCTGTTTAATTATTTCTCGTTTCCGAAATACCTTAATTATCGATTTGAAAAGACCTTGAAAAGACCCACATGTATAGATCGAATTATAAAATAATACATCTATAAGAAGTCATTCTTTATATAGATTATCTATATGACCAACTGAGTACTCTAACCCCTACGTCTTTAAGTAATCAAAGCTGGTGTAAAGCTAAACTGGTGGATATAGCACACCAATTTCATAATGCTGGACCTAAGCAGAGAAGCATATTAACTTCTCAACATTTAAAATCACTAAAAGAACTACGAACAAACACTGATATTGTCTTGTTGAAGCCTGATAAAGGATCAGGCGTGGTTATCATGAACAAATGTGAATATAAGGATAAGATGTTATCCATCCTCAGTGAAGAAAGTAAATTCATGCCTGATGTTGAATTCGGAGGTATTAACAAACTAGAGGGAAGAGTAAATTCATACCTGGAAAAATTGTTACACATGAATGTTATTGATAAAGAGGAATTTAATTTCTTAAAACCTATGGGCTCTGAGTATCCTCATTTATATGGACTACCCAAAATTCATAAACTAAATACTCCTTTACGTCCAATTTTATCAATGTGCCGATCACCCACACATAACCTAGCCAAATGGCTAACAAAATTATTGGATCCTATTCGGCGACGTTTATGTAAGTATTCCCTAAAGGATTCTTTTGAACTGGTCGATCTTTTAGGTGACATTAATACCAAAAGAAAAACTATGTGCTCATTTGACGTGAATACCTTATTCACAAATGTACCTTTAAAAAAGACTATTGACATTTTATGTGACTATATATTTTCAAACAACCTTAATTTACCTATCCCCTTAAATATTCTTAAAGAGTTATTACTTTTATGTACTGATAAAGTTCAGTTCAATTTTGAAGGCGAATACTTTCGCCAGATTGATGGGGTCACTATGGGTAGTCCGTTAGGGCCATTACTAGCAGATGTGTTTATGGCACATGTGGAAAATTTATCTGAAGACTTAATCAAAAACATGTCACTTTATAAGAGATATGTGGACGATATCTTAGTAATTGGCGAAAGAATGGAAGACATAAACTGCCTATTGAATAAATTTAACACTATCCAAAACCATATCAGTCTTTCATGCGAAGAGGAGAAGAACGACCAACTCCCCTTCCTAGATGTACTTCTAAGCAGACAAGAAGATGGCTCAATAAAACGATCCATTTTTTCGAAAACCAACGTGGACGGGTCAATATCTTAGTTACTGTAGTTATTGCCCTGTGCAATACAAACGTGGTTTGGTAAAGTGCCTTTTTAACAGGCTTCGTCGTATTTGCACAAACGATGCTATTGATGACGATGTTAAGTTGTTAACCATGACATTAATCGGGAATGGTTATCCACCTAAATTTATCAATAGATGGAAAGTTATGGGCACAGCGAGACCTGCTGTAGCCTTGGTATAGAAAAAGCCTGTTTACATCACCTTACCATTTAGAGGTGATTCAAATAGCCTTTTACTGAAACAAAGGCTTAAATCAGTCACCAACAAAACATATTGTGCAGCAAAGGTCATAATCAAAGAAAGAACGAGGTCCATGCTTCATTCAAAACCTAGACGACATGAAAACGATAGTGTCACATCCCACTGCGTTTACCAATTTAAATGTGTGTGTGGTCACACATACATAGGGAGGAGCAATCGTGATCTGAAAATTAGGGTGGGTGAACATGTACCAAAATGGTTGCAAAAACAAATACAGTCGAAGGACCCAATAAAAGTAGAGGATAAACATCCAACATCCTCTGTTGCTAAACACATAATCGAAACAGGTCATAAGATTGATCTTAACTCAGCTTTTGTTGTGTTGTTTAAAAGTGTAAAAGGGCGTATACTGAGGTTTATTGAAGCCTTAGCCATACGAAAATTCAAACTCCCAATACATAAAGTATTCAAAAGCAGTTTGTTCTCTCCTTAAACCTACCCTGGTAATAAATGCTTATTATCCAGAGTGATTAGGTGTCAAGTTGTTTTCACATTATTTTATCATTATTATCCTTGTCTATTTCTTAACCTTATTACCCGTCTAGTTGACCTTTTATTTTTATATATAAATGTTCTTAACAAGTATATGTGTGATCAGATTGTTCGAAATGTATTGCGCCAATATACCACATAATTCTGATAATCTTCGTCTTCTTATTACATTATCGAAATATAGATTATTAAAATTAAAACACAGATTTCAGCGAAGGGATCTCTTTTCAACGAATTTATTATCAAGCTGTACAATCGTATATATATATATATGAAAATGTTTTGTTAAAGTACTAATTCCGTGAGGAAATGTGAACACTAATAACCAAGATTATAATACTGGATTACGTAATATGAATAACAACAATAGATTTAGTGAATATAGTAAGACGGATAAAATGTCTTGGTTACAATAATTAAAGGTCATTAAAGGTCATAGAGGTGTAAAATAAATAAATAAATAAATAAGGTGATGAGTATTCATGAATAAAATAATGAGAATATAAAACATAAGTAAAGGGGGAATGGAGTAATAATAATAATAAAAGAATGATAATAATAATAATAATAATAATATTAAGGCCATGGTAACGATAATGATAAAACGTACTTCTTTTGTACGCATAGTTCTGGTTTGAGCTCATGGATGGTAAGAGCTTCGGCTATTTTTAAAAGTTTGATCCGAAGAAATCTTGGTAGATTTGAACGAATCATATAAACAACCTTAAAATCAGACTGTGGATTCGTCGAATGATTACAGTCGATTAGGTGTTCGAGTATAGAACTTCGAACTGCTTTCTTTCCACCATTGTAGAACCAAGCTGGTATATGTTCTCGTATCCGGGTTGAAAGCGAGCGCTGGCTACGGCCGATGTACCTCGCTCCACAAGAGCAGGTGAACTGGTAGATGCACATGGAGGCGACCAAACGCGGAAGCTTATCTTTTATGGATACAGAAATTAAGTTCTTACTGGTGAAGGTTATTCGTAGTTTTGCAGCGTTAAATGTCCTTTTAATCGTTGTTGTTAAACGATTTTTAATTATGTCTGATGTTCGATCACCTTTAAATTCCAGACTTATATAAAGGCTTTTCTTTGGCACTGAATAACTAGGATTCTTACCGACGCTACTTCTGTTCATATTCTTTTCTATGAACCGGTCTGGGTAGCCATTTTTCAACAAAGTTTTTTTGAGGAACGCTAGTTCTTCGTTGGTGCATTCTGTACTACATATCCGATGTATACGATAGCATAAAGAATGAATCAAGTTTCTCTTTCTAATTAATGGAACCCAGCTGTAGAAGTTGGTTAGTTGACCGTTCCATGTTTGCTTTCTAAAGATAGATCTTTTTAAAAAACCATTGCTTCTTCTCAATAGATGTACATCAAGAAAAGAGATTGATTGGTCTCTCTCTCTTTCTAATGTAAAGTCTATGGAAGGGTGGCATGAGTTGAAGAAGTGTAAGATATTGTCCAAATCAATATTATCGTCACAAACGACAAATGTGTCGTCCATGTATCTTACGTATAGTTGAAATCGACTTATCATTGAACTGAGTTGATCGTTTTCTAGTTTTGCCATGAAGCAGTCTGCTAGATAGTGTAGATTATTGTTAGCTGAACGCAGGCAAACTGAAAATAATATCTGTTATCACCTAAAATCCTATGATTTTAATCTCAAAGTAAACTGTTTCTGAGTAAGAGTTAAGTTCATTTGATCTTAATCTGTAATAACTACCATTTTTCTTTGAAACCTATTTAACTATTTGTAAAGGATACTTCTGCATTGTATTTACATCTATTTAACTATTTGCTAGTTTGAATGTTACCTTAATTTTTCAGCTATTATACGACCTACTATTCACGAGTAGTATAAAGTTTTATGTTTCTGTTACTCTTCTTCAGAAAAGCAATCATTCCGTAAAATGCTTATTCACAATGATCACGTGATTTAGTTAACCTACATTCAATAGTCAAAGTGATATAATCAAATCAAAGCACACAAATCGCATTTAGTGACTGGCATATATAATTGCATAATTAAACACAGTTTACGCTCTATTCATTTACAACAAGCTAAATCTTACAGTCACAATAGAATACATCAGATTACTAGGGTAACAACTTACTTAAAATACGTCGACGAACCAAAGGTACCCAAATAAACTTCACAAGTAGAACAGTGATAATACCTAGACCACAACTAATTATAAATATTCCATAAAGAGGTATTCTATCGAATTTTAGCACTACAAAAGAGGGAAAACACAAACATGTGTATGTGTATTTGAGATAGGGTTACTTGATAATCGACTGTTCATACAAATGTATATAGATTGGAGACTAGAAAAAATACACAAAAATATAAAGTCATTAATTATATCCATAATTATTTTGAATATCAACATACGTTCAATAACAATTTAATTATCATAAATGAAAGAAGCAGTTATTATGGTAATCTAGACGGAAATGTATAATTAATATGGAAAAACATAAGATGTTGATATATATGATAAAGTTGATTGAAATAATAAAATGATTATACCATGTTTATTGTATATATTCTAATGGACATCACGTATACCGTATGTGTAACTATGATTGTCATCAACAACATAGGATAAACACTCTTATCATTCTAAAATGGTATCAATCACAACTTCACACTATCGACTATTCAAGCTTACATAGAAATATAACCTGGAATATTTATCAAATACCAACATACAAATTCATTCACATATTAAGCAGGATTAAACACATAAACGAAGAGATAAACATAAAAGACACAATCTCACTGTAATACTCTACATTTCTGTATCAAACCTCTATATGGAATTATACAGGTTATTTAATGCACTGGAGTAAAATGTTTCTAAATTATTTGTTAAACAATAAGAATATCAGAATCAACTGACTTATGTCCATGTCTTCTTTAGCAGATTAATGCCTCGATGTTAACACTGGTCAATATCACTGAATATAGTCACTTACAACTTAGTCGTGATATTTCAATGCAGTAGTTGTCAGATTCAATGGGAAGAAAAGAAGACAACGTAGGTAGTAAATTATAGAGCAGCATAAGATGTTGACTATCCCATTAAAGTCTCAGAGCCATTTAATAATGTATTCATAATTGAATCGAAGACTGTCATGAACAATAGAATCTCTGCAAATCATAATAACGAGTACTTTCAATAAACGAATAACGCTGATGTTCACTTTAATAGTTAATTATTCACGAATGTGAGTTGAAAACACTTTGTCAAGAATTAAAGCACACTGATGGGTATACTCCATTCAACACAGATACTTTGCTGACTTTGGTGTAAATATCGAAAAAGCATTAGAAATATTTTTGCCTCCATTATAGCCAACACTATAAACTATCAGATAACTGATAAGCATATTTGTCAGGGCGATTCTAGATTAAAACACAGATTTCAGCGAAGGGATCTCTTTTCAACGAATTTATTATCAAGCTGTACAATCGTATATATATATATGAAAATGTTTTGTTAAAGTACTCATTCCGTGAGGAAATGTGAACGGAATGTGTGACGGAATTAGTACTTTAACAAAACATTTTCATATATATATATACGATTGTACAGCTTGATAATAAATTCGTTGAAAAGAGATCCCTTCGCTGAAATCTGTGTTTTAATTTTAATGTTTAAATGGGAATTATATACCGATTCTAGATTAGTTTATTATTCTTACTATACTCTCCCCACTCTCGGCCGTATTAGGGCATTTGGGGGCATTCTTACTATACGGGTCGTATAGTTGGGTTTTATATAAACACTTTAAACCGAACCACTATACAGAAACTTGATTTTAATGGGTAAAAACATTGGAAAAAAAACTAGTTAACTTATTTCAGTCAAATGAATTTTGCGTTGGATCTAATTAAAATGACCAGAAAACTACCATCAAATAAGTTCAATAGTGAAGTTTTGTAACAATCCACATTACAAAAACATCCATGAAATACACCAATAATTATTTTTATCACTTATCAAACAATTTCAACAGTTACATAATTATCTATCACAACAAACATAACAACTGTAGTTTTAATAAAAATATCCATGACAATTTACAGCTAACGTACTTGAAGGTCCTTCGTAAAATATGGAAAAACTATTGACTAGCACCACTGTACCGAAAAAACCTGGGATAAGTTTAAGTGCAGGTTCAAGAGGATCTTCCTGTAAAACAAATGAATAATTACATAGACAATGTTAAACATTCCAAGATACTTCGTTCCAGAGATAATCCAATACATGTATACATATTCACAATATCCTCTTACAATAGTAAGTTTATAATTAGATAGACAAATCACAAAAACTACGGGAATGCTAATACATCATTTGTAATAAATAAAAACACTTTCAAGTATGTACAGTGGATTTAGTAAATAAAATTTAAGATTTATTTATTTATTTATTTTAGCGTTTACAATGAACAAAATTAGAAATGTATTTACGTTGCGCTATTTATCCACGGTCATCTAAAATTATTTCACTTGAAATTAGGAATAACCTTTTATGAATGAATAAATAAACACAAATTTAAGAATAAAATTACACTTTACTGTACACATATATTTACGGTTTCATTAATACACGGTTACATGAAAGTAACATAAACGTTACAGGTTTTGCACCTTTGTTCATATTCATGGCTGGTTTCGCTTTAAACGTAACATCTGACAGAAATACTTTAATTACACGGTAAGAATGTTTAATAAGTTACACAAAGTATAACGCAGTCCATTCGATTTTAGTAATCTATATTATTGGCCAGTCAAGATGATTTTACGACGATAGTTGTCGAATGGGGAGGTCTGAATATTAAAAGGAAGTGTTGATCAGTTAATAAAACTTATCAAAGATAAGCATAACTTTTATCTTCACAAGTAAGAATTCTTCTAGTTGTACACAATGGCACTTACGATATGACAGGGGAGTATTTTTACCGTCTAGTGAATTATTCGATTCCTGGTATCAACCGAGAAATCTTACTCTTTATTCCGGGCCTATATATGTACTTTCACAAAAGCAGTTAACCTGGTATAAACACACTGACAAACAAATCATTGACAAATCGATCCTAACATTAGCAATTATATTTATAACCATATTGTTTAGTCAATTATAAACAGTAATTAATACACTGACAATAAATGATCTCGTAATATCTCCTTTGACATGAGTAGTTGTATGGTTAACTATATCAGATATGCACTCGCCAGTTTATTATTAGAATAAACTGTTAAAATACTAGCGGTATGTTTTATGGATTTATTTTGTGTTTTCAATTATTGTTTATGGTCAAATAAAGACAACACATCACGCACTAGACTATCGATTATTGCGTAATTGATTTAGAAACATTCGAGCGACATAGAAATACCATAATTATGAGATTTAGTTCAGTATTAGTTACTCTATGTTTTGAATACTAGTAAAAGTGTAATCACGTTCCAAATAGTTTGGAATAAGATGGCTATAATTAATGTGTGCAATTAATTAGTATGTTAGATGTACAAGCCAGTAGCTCACAATAGCAGCACAAATATCTGTCCATACATTATGACAATTCCTCTTATAATTAGAAACCGAGATATTATTTTGAAATCAATTTTTATTTACAAATTGACACTTTGATGGGTCCTTTGGTATTCCAACTTAGGGACACACAGTGAAGACTGTCTACTCAAACTGTACACAGACAACCACTTATTTCAGGTAAGCATTGACATTAAGCATAAAGAGAAACAATTTCTATTATAAAGACCAGCAAAGCTAATCTAAACACCGACTCAAGTAAACCATATCGGCATCAGCGAAGAATCTAGGCGTAGTGTCGCTTGATTCGTATTGATGGTTGATCGCATTACTTAAAAATAAAGGACATGAATCCTCTTGTGATAGCCACAGAGGAATTACTTTGATCAGTATTGTCTAAAATAGCGTCCTCAAAATCAAACCAACACTTAAGTAAGGGTAGTGAACAGCAAACCTTGGAAAATCAGGATGGCTTCAGACCAAGGTGTGGATCCACTGATCAAATCTTCACCCTCTTACAAAACATAGGCTCTTTATTAGGAATTGCATCACCCACAACGTAAGCAAGATGTTCGACTGTCAACCGAGGGGAGATTATACTACCTCAGAATTCGCTCTACCTAACTTTGTATCTGGGGAAAATGCTTCAAAAGAAAACATTCGTAAGTTACTAGTATTTAGTCATAGGATTCTTTGAACCATTGATTTCGTATGTTGGTACGTAAGATAGTAGGTAAGGATAGAAAATCGTGCGATAAAAGTATGAATCTTCAACGACTGAGCTAGCTAGAACATATTTTATGCACGTTCAACCAACTCCATACTTCTGTTGGCTGGCGTACGAGCAGATTGAAAAAACGTTTGCACGACCAAACCAAGATCAGTTCATGAAGTCACTGACTGTTGGTTAGAGTCATCCAGGTGGGTGCAAATCACCTGGTCGGAACCCACATAATTATTGAAACTAATGATTGGAGACCTCAGAAGACAGGGATTACAGTATGTCACAACAACTCTGATCAATCTACTGTTTAAGATCTTTTAGATCTCGATTCTCAAAATTCCTCCACATCTTTTAAAATACAAATCTGTTATTTTTCGTCGAATCATATTCTTTAAGTCTGATCTACTTTACTATCAATGATGCTACTACCTCGAACTGCTCGGTAATAGTTTGGTGTAGCAACTTTAATCAATATACTCAAGTGCCAGGTTCTACTTTGCACATAACTGACTGGCTAAGTAGCATGGTCAGAATCACAGTTCTCAACAGTCAATTGTTGATTGACAGAAATTCGGCCATTGTCAGTGGTTTGGTCTTGGTCTACTTCTGACGAGTTTAGGTCCGCAAACCAAATATTCCCATCAGAACTCTAGTAAATCCCAGGGTCAACCATCAGTGATCATACATTTATTGCTGAATTTGGTGATTTGTAGGGAGATTTGTATATTTTAAAAACACTTCATCATTTACTTATCAGCCAATACCAGTTTAGTAGTTTGTTGCTAGTAGAGACTATAATTTATTGACGAACCAATCAGGTACAAGATAACAGACCTTGGAATTTGGCGCGGAATTCACTCATCCATTGGGATAAATAGCACTTTGACATTTTAGCTGATATCAGTTTGTGATGAAGACCCTAAATCTAATTCCTAACGCTAACCATCAACTGTAAATCATAATTCTAATTCCTTACACTGGTTTACAACTCTCATTCGGTCCTACTTATTAGGTGGACACTCTCAACGTCACTTCAATGTCGCTCTAAGGTAGTCCATAAATTACAGTCTCACCGGTAACTCTATTGAATTTTGAACATCAAAAAGCACTTCATGTAATACTGTAAACAAAATAAATAGATAATCTGCATTTTTGTTTTCAATATCTGCTTTGAGGTTTGTTTTAGAATTCAAATGTTTGAAGATGATATTGTAAAGAAAATTTTACACACAACGGAATAAAGCTGCTTTATTTTTTGTAAAGAAAAGTGTAAATGAACTTTACAAAGCCAATTATAGGTTAAACATTTGTAAATATATATAACCATAATTAACAAAAGAATAAATGAAAACACAAAATGTGAAGAGAATGTGATGATAGTCGGATGAAGGTCTATGTTTAGGTAATGTAACATAGTTAAAGAAAAATATTCAACCCTATTAAATCTGATTTATATAAAGACTGTGCTAATTATTTAGGAAGAATAATAATGACACTATTATTCTACTGTTGACAATCAGTGCATTACTTGGCACAGATGTGGTAACCTTGATTATCAGAAATTTTACGAGTTAATAGAGAGATGTATCAATAACTACTAAAAATATGTATATCGGTCATTATTCAGGATGATAAATTTAACCCTGGATAATTCTGAGAAGTTCATGAATGTTGTGTAATTCGTGAACTACACCGATTTTGATTAACTTTCACCAGTAATTCCGTTAATCGATTCACATAATTTAATGAACTTGTTTACGAGTAGAAATAAGGAAATTACATATACGTTATTAAATAGAAGAAATTTAATTCAATTACACTTCATTTCCATGTAGTTCCTTGACATGGATCGTACCATTAAAGTTGAAACCAAACATTTCTTACAGTAGTTAATTTTAAATTAACTGATTTCATGATAAAATAAAGTTTTGTGTCTAAACGAAAGTGAATACAGAGTGTAGTTTACTAGTTACATGAAATTACATTTGTTCAGTTTACAGAACTAACTTAATTTCAATTCATATTATTATGTGATGGATCTACATTAATTTCTGAACAATTTGAAATAGCATACAGTTAATTCCCTTTATACACGTGAATAACATGCATGTTTGCATGATTATAAACTGAACATTATCTATTCACTTGTTAATTTGATTAACTAGAATTAAATGTATTAGTTTATGAAAAAAATCATAAACAGATAAGAACTCTTGTATCTTCTTCCCAGATACGTTTACCTACATATATCGAATCATAAAGAATGAAAGAGCCCAGCGAAGGCTATAAATCTACCTTTCTAAGTAAATTCAAATGCACCAAGGTAGCTATTAGTATAATAGCTCAACGTTTAGTTTACAACCTATCCTTTTAGTTTTACTGTCATTTGAAATAAGTATTTGATTAAAGAACTTATGTATTAGGGAGAAGGCAGTTGTTAGTTTGTAATAACCATGTTGATATGCTACTTTTGCCAATATACTTCTTCGGTCACTTACTTTAAAACCCATGCTCTCTCTGAACAGTTTTATTCATACATTTATCTACACTTCTATATATCCCTGAATATACTGTCACAACTCCAAAAACACATAACTTATCTCCAGTTATATAAAGTTATAATCTCATCCTTCTCTCACGTCTTCTAAGATATTTCCCCGATGATTTTATGCACACACAGTCTCATCGACAACTCATATTATAAAATTATGTGAACTTCTTTGAAGGGTGTAACATTCAAGAGAAACATATTACAGTTTGTTTCAGTGAAATGTGTTCCTCATAAATTTGTATACCATAATTCGATTACCGATTGAAGATAATTCATTCAACATAATACTCTACACTAGATTTTTTAATAGTTTTACAAAAAAATTATGAAATACCATAGTTTCCACAGGAAGTAAGCATG